TGTCTGTATTAGAAACATGCAAAATGGCGTGCCGGTTGATTCTTTTAAACCTCCCTTCCTCCCTCCCTCCCTCAAAGTGGCCAAGATTGAAGACCCCTGCCGAATACCATTCCAGATAAATGGCTGTCCAATCTCTTCTTCAAAAACCACCTTCTTCACATCTTTTTGATTGTTTATTTTTTTTTCTTTCCTACATTTTATTGCACTGTGCAACATTGACTTGGCTGAGGAATTCTGGGAGTTGAAGTCCATACGTCTTCAAGTTGCCAAGTTTGGAGACTCCTGGTTTAGAGTTTCGACCGATTCAAAATGGCTAAGCACTTTCACAGCTACCTGAATCTCAGGCTTTATTTTATGAAAGCGTATAATAATAATAATAACAACAACAACAACTGCCTATCCCAGGTCCTTAGTAAGGACTCGATAGGTAGACAAAATGCCAAATCCAGTCTGAACATCTGGCTGACTGTGTGATGATCCATAATGATGATGATGATGATGATGATGATGTTGGAAGGGACCTTGGAGGTCATGTAGTCCAACCCCCTGCTCAGGCAGGAAACTCTATACCATTTCAGACAAATGGCTGTCCAGTCTCTTCTTAAAAACTTCCAGTGTTGGAGCATTCACCACTTTTGGAGGCAGGTTGTTCCACTGGTTAATTGTTCTCACTGTCAGGAAGTTTCTCCTTAGTTCTAAGTTGCTTCTCTCCTTTGTTAGTTTCCATCCGTTGCTTCTTGTCCTGCCTTCATGCGCTTTGGAGAATAGCTTGACTCCTTCTTCTTTGGGACAGCCCCTGAGATACTGGAAGACTGCTATCATGTCCCCCCTGGTCCTTCTCTTCATTAAACTAGACATACCCAATTCCAGCAACCGTTCCTTATGTGTTTTAGCCTCCAGTCCCCTAATCATCTTTGTTGCTCTTTTCTGCACTCTTTCCTAGAATGATGCAAGCTGCATCCAAGATGAATGAAAATGGTATCAGGGCAAGCACCCGATTGCACAAAGCAAAACTGCACAGTTTGTGCAATCATCAAAACAATTTTACAATACAGATAGTCCTCGACTTACAAGAGTTCGTTTAGTGACCGTTTGAAGTTACCACAGCCCTGAAAAAAGTGAATTACGACTGTTCTTCACATTTACAACCATGGCAGCATCCCGATGGTCACATGATCAAAATTCAGACGCTTGGCAACTGACTCGTATTTACGACGGTTACAGCATCCCGGGAACACGTGATCCTCTTTTTGCGAACTAACAAACAAAGTCAATGAGGAAGCCAGATTCGCTTAATAATTGTGTGACTAACTTAATTGCATTGATTCACTTAACAACTGTGGGAAGAAAGCTCGTAAAGTGGGGCAAAGCTCACTTAACAAATGTTTTCACTTAGCCCCAGAAATGTTAGACCCAGTTGTGGTCGTAAGTCGAGGACTCCCCGTAAGGCACAAAAGTGAAATCGTCAGAACGATTTTTACAAATATGCATGTAACGTTCTTGGCAAACTTCCAGTCCTGGGAAAGAATCAACTTCATGTCCTGCTTTAGGGAGGTTTTTTGTTTTTTTGTTTTGTTTTGTTTTGTTTTTGTTCCCTTTTCCATTCCCCCCCCCTCCCCACCGTTTTAACACTTTTTAAAACAGATTTGGAGGCACAGCTTTGTTTTGGAAAAGCGGGCTTTGTTTTCCTGGCATTATGAGATTAAATGCGGTCCAGAGGCAGATTCTGCTAATGCTGTGTGGCTTCTTTCTGCAGATAAATGTAGGATTTGTACGGCAAGGACAAACGCTTTGCGGGGCCCCTTTGAGCTTAAACTGCATTCAAGGTCACATTCTGAAGATCAGACCATTTTTCTAGCGGTGTTTCCCAAGCGTCTGGGGAAGGGGTGCTTAAACGCCCACGTTCCAGCAATATTGGGTGACCACAGTGGTCCGCAATGTCTTGCAGGCGGCCCTTAACTTACAACCGTTTGTTTAACGATCATTGGAAGCTGCAATGGCATTTTTAAAAAATTGATTGGTGACACTTAACAACCATTGCAGCATCCCCACAGTCGCAAAATTCAGACGCTTGGCAGCCGGCATGTATTTAAAACAATTGCAGCATCCCAAGGTCAGGTGATCGCCATTAGCGACCTTCCCAGCTGGCTTCTGCCAAGCAAAATCAATGGGGAAAGACCCCGATTCGCTTAACGACTGCAAGGTTCACTTAACCACTGCAGTGATTCGCCTAAATCGGTGACAGAGAACCTTTTAGAGACCGAGTGCCCAAACTGCAACCCAAAACCCACTTATGCATCGTCGGGTGCCGGGTGGGTGTGGCTCATTGGGTGGGTGTGGCCCATTGGGTGGGCGTGGCTGCGGTGGTAGCAGCAGACTGGATGGGACTAAAATGTTCAAACAATCAATTCCAACTTTGCAAGATCTTTTTTTTTCCCCTCAGGTCCAAATTGTAATTTGAGGACTAACCATATGGATGGATGAATGGATGGATGGATGGATGGATGGATGGATGGATGGATGGATGGATGGATGGACGGACGGACAGAAGACGAGATATAGTTGATAGAGGTAGAGATAGGTAGGTAGTTAGGTAGGTAGACAGACAGACAGACAGATAATAGATAGATAGATAGATAGATAGATAGATAGATAGATAGATAGATAGATAGATAGATAGATAAGCAGGCAGACAGAAGATAGATATAGATGAGAGAGAGGGGGTAGAGACAGACAGACAGACAGACAAATAGATATAGTTGATAGAGGTAGAGGTAGAGATAGATAGATAGACAGACAGACATAAAGACAGAAAGACAGACAGACAGACAGATAGATAGATAGATAGATAGATAGATAGATAGATAGATAGATAGATAGATAGATAGATAGACACAGACATAAAGATAGATAGATAGATAGACAGACAGACAAAGAAAGTTAGATAGATAGATAAGTAGATAGATAGATAGACAGACAGACAGATATAAAGATAGATAGATAGATAGATAGATAGACACAGACATAAAGATAGATAGACAGACAAAGAAAGATAGATAGATAGATAAGTAGATAGATAGATAGACAGACAGACAGACAGACAGACAGACATAAAGATAGGTAGGTAGATAGATAGATAGATAGATAGATAGATAGATAGATAGATAGATAGATAGATAGATAGATAGATAGATAAGCAGACAGACAAGATAGATATAGTTGGTAGAGAGAGGTAGAGATAGATAGATAGATAGATAGACAGACAGACAGACATAAAGAAAGATAGATAGATAGATAAGTAGATAGATAGATAGACAGACAGACATAAAGATAGATAGATAGATAGATAGATAGATAGATAGATAGATAGATAGATAGATAGATAGATAGATAGATAGATAGATGGACAAACAGGCAAAGATAGATATAGATGAGAGAGGGGGGGGATGGATGGAAGGATGAACAGACAGAAGATATAGATGATAGAGAGAGAGATGTAGAGATAGATAGATAGATAGATAGATAGATAGATAGATAGATAGATAGATGCATACATACATACATACATACATATATACATACATACATACATACGATCATTTAATGACCATTCAAAGTTATGACGCTGCTGAAAAAAGTTCAGACTTGCAACCAGTGCTTGCACTTGTGACTGTCACAGCATCTCTGTGATCAAGTAATCAAAATTTGAGTGCTCGGCAACCAGCATGTATTTATGATGGTTGCAGCGTTATTAGGGTCCCTCAAAGGTCATCTACTCCATCAGCCCCCAACCTTTTGGGCACCAAGGGGAGAGATTTTGCATGCTGCCTGCATCCTGTGGATGCGGCTTTGCTGGTTTGCGTGGCCCGGTTGGTGGCATGTTGCGAATCAGTGCCGGTCCGGTCCGCAGCCCTGGGGGTTGTTTCTACTTCCTCCCTCCTGTTTCAGGAAGTGAATTGTTCAATTCAGCCATTCTTTTAAACCAGGAGTCTTCAAACTTGGCCCTTTCATGACTTGCAGACTTTAACTCCCAGAATTCTTCAGCCAGCATGGGGGAACTATGGGCCCTTCATAACTTGCAGACTTCAACTCCCAAAATTCCTCAGCTAGCAGGAGGGAACTATGGCCCCTTCATAATTTGTGGACTTCAACTCCCAGAATTCCTCAGCCAGCAGGAGGGAACTATGGCCCCTTTATGACTTGTGGACTTCAACTCCCAGAATTCCTCAGCCAGCATGCCTGGCTGAGGAATTCTGGGAGTCGAAGTCCACAAGTCATAAAAGGGCCAAATTTGAAGACCCCTGTTTTAAACCAACGTATTTGGATTGGCCAAGCAGAAATTCAAGACTGTATGGGGGACTTGCACAAACTTGATTCGATTTGGTGATGCAGAGAGGTAGTAAATCTTGTAAAAAATCATTTACTTGTTCATCCAATTCCAATCCCTTCTGACCTTCCAACTTACCTCAAGTCGCTCCCAACTCTAAGCTTCATGTAAAATAGTGGTTCTTAACCTGTGGGTCGGGACCCCACTTGGGGTCGAACGACCATTTCACGGGGGTCGCCAAATAACGCAGTCCGCCATTTTTTCCCCTTTTCCTTAGCTGTGCTACTCTCTTTTATTCTATTGGCTTTTGAAAGCCAATAGAATAGACTCTCTTGAATAGAGTCTAATTCTATTGGCTTTCAAAAGCCAATAGAAATTGTCCAGGCTGTCTCTGCCCTGCTGAGACCACCAAAAGTCCCATTCTGCAAATGGTGCTGCACCAATTGAGTAGTCCTCGACTTACGACCGGTTGGGGATCACGGCATTAAAAAGGTTGAGAACCACTGATGTAAAAAAACACAAAATACAAACCAAAATAAACAGGAAGAAATGCAAATCATCTGAGGACCGGTGTTGCCCATGGAAAGCTGGGGGGGGGGGTTCGACTATAAATAAATGATCCTTTTATTTTAATTTTCCATTTTCATGTCAATAAATAAGCAGTATTTTGCAGGTAGAGAAAGCAGTTACTCCCGGTTTGAAGTCCAACACCCCAAATTCCCAAGGGGATGGAACTACTATGCCCGGATCGTCTGGCAGCCTCTCCCAGTTCCGTCCAGGAGTAGCAAAGCAGACGGTGGAGTCACTCGGTAATGTGGAGGGTTGAAAGGGATGCTGGAAGTGGTTTAAGGGGAGATTACACCTTGCAATATTGCTTAGGCCTCTCCCCGCATTGAGAAAATTAGCACACAGATGCTAGTTTTTTAACTGCAGTGGGGGGGTGGGAGTCGGTAATAGGGTCCCTGATGAAAAGCAAATGCAAAATTAGGAATCAGATGAATATCTCCCCACTTTACCCCCACCCCTTTCTCTCTCTCTATTTTTCTAAACTTTTTTTTTTTTTTTTTAAATTAAGTATGATAGTTTTGTGAAGTCTTAAGAAGCCAGAATGAATAGTTGTGGAGTCAGCAATATAACAGAACTTACAAAAAAAAAAAAAAAAAAGAGGGCAAATTTTCATAAGGCCCTGGGTGAAAAAGAAACATGCTTTTTTTGGTCAAAAAATAAATAAATTCAAAGTCTGGAGAATTCAGAAAAAAACTGAAAGAAAGTTTCCTATTGCTGCAATGCACAAAGATTATTTAATAACATTTCTGGGTCCTTTTCGTTCTTTTTTGTCGCACAGACAAAAGGTTTTCTGAGCATCTGATCGATGAAGATAAATCTACTGTCCCTTTTACTGAAGTTCATAATTTTAAAAATGGCCAGTTTTAAATTGCCCTGGTTCTGTTTCACAAACTTCTGCGCCCCGTCATAAGGACTAGAAACTTAAAGCAATTCCCATTGGATTAACAAAGAGTTGCAAAGAGGGTTTTTTTTTTCTTTTTGTAGGGAGGAAAGTATCTGTGGCAGGAAGGCATCACCGTAAAGCTATTAAGAAAGCAGTAAAAAACATAATAAAGTGGAGGACCAAATTTATCTGACAGAAGATGTGGAACTGATGAAAGGACAGTTTTAAAGCACCCCTGTCAATATGCTCATAAAAGTTACTAGCAGACTAAAAGTGGTTGGCCAGAATGTTAATTGACTTAGAGAGTGTGTAACACATAGCTTGCTTATTTTTTAAAGTTTAAGATTGGACAAGTGAGTGTGGGTGAGAGTGATGGAGAGAGAAAGAGGAGTTAAATTGAAATGCAGGCCTGCTTTTAAGACCGTATTTCTCAACCTCACCAACTTTAAGAAGTGTGCAACTCCCAAAAGTCCTCAGCCCATATTAGTGGACTTAAACTTCAGAATTCCTCAGTCTAGATCTGTCAAACTCAATTCCCAAAATTCCTCAGCCCAGATCTATGGACTTCAATTCCCAGAATTTATTTATGTATTTATGAGACTTATATACCGCTTTAAGTGCAAGCACTCTCTAAGCGGTGTACACCAGTAAGCAATGTATATATATATTTACATTGCCCCCAACAATCTGGGTCCTCATTTTACCTACCCCGGAAGGATGGAAGGCTGAGTCAACCTTGAGCCGGTGAGATTTGAACCGCTGACCTGCTGAACACAGTCAGCTAAAGTGGCCTGCAGTACTGCACTCTAACTGCTGCGCCACCTCGGCTCTTTTCCTCAACCCAGATCCGTGAACTTAAAACTCCCAGAATTCCTCAGTCCAGATCTGTGGATTTAAAACTCCCAGAATTCCTCAACCCAGATCTGTGGACTTAAAACTCCCAGAATTCCTCAGTCCAGATCTGTGGAGTTAAAACTCCCAGAATTCCTCAGTCCAGATCTATGGAGTTAAAACTCCCAGAATTCCTCAGTCCAGATCTGTGGACTTAAAACTCCCAGAATTCCTCAGTCCAGATCTGTGGAGTTAAAACTCCCAGAATTCCTCAGTCCAGACCTGTGGATGTAAATTCCCAGAATTCTGCTGACGGGGAGTTCTGGTCCACACATTTTAAAGCTGCTGAGGCCGAGCAGGACTGTTCTAGGGTGAATTTGAAGCAGTTGGGAAAATGAACACCAGAATCGTCTCTTTTGGTTCCAGCTTTGAGCCTGCGGAATCCGCTCACCGTCCAAAGTTCCTATCAAGCGGCTTTTAACGTCGCCCATGTTTCAGTCAACGGCGACGTGGTGGGCACCGGCGCCTACGCCGGGCTGCACCTGGTCTCCCCCCAGCTGAACGGGGCCGCCGTGGTGGGGACGGGCAGCTACGGGCGCTCCCCTTTGGTGAGTCTGTGGGGAGAAGGCCCCTTAGCAGGGGAAGGGGGTCCTCCCTGGTATTAACCGAAGATCCCCCTGTCCTTCTAGGTAGCTTATGATCCTCACGCGCATTTGAGGGCCTCAGGCCTTTCTGCGGGAATGCAGGCCGGCATAACTTCTGCCAAGCCGTAAGTGAAGCTCTTGCATCCGTTGTGAAAGCGGGGGGGGGGTCCGAATCAAGGCCCTCCTTTCCGGGACGGAGGTCCTGGACATTATGCAGGGCAAAAATTCCAGACTTCCTTCCTTTCCTTCTCTCTTTCCTTCCTTTCCCTTCCCTCTTTCCTTTCCTCTTTCCCTTCCTTTTCCTCGTCCTTTTCTTTCCCTCTTTTCTTCCCTCTTTCCTGTCCCTCTTTTCTTCCCTTCCCTCTTTTCTTTCTTTCCTCTCATTTCCTTTCTTTTCTTCCCTTCCCTTTTCCTCTTTTCTCCCCCTTCATTTTTCTTCCTTTCCCTTCACTTCCTTTCCCTCTTTTCTTCCCTTCCCTCTTTCCTTCCCTTCCTTTTCCTTCCTTTCCTCTCCTCTCTTTCTTTTCCTTTCCTTTCCCTCTTTTCTTCCCTTTTCTTTCCTTCCTCTCCTCTGCTCTCCTTTCCTTTCCCTCTTTTCTTCCCTCTTCCCTTTCCTTTCCTTTTTTCTTCCCTTCCCTCTTTTCTTTCTTTCCTTCCCTTTTCCTCGTCTTTTCCTTTCCCTCTTTTCTTCCCTTCCCTCTTTCCTTTCTTCCCTTCCTTTCCTCTCCTCTCCTTTCTTTTCCTTTCCCTCTTTTCTTCCCTTCCCTCTTTCCTTTCCATCTTTTCTTCCATTCCTTTTCTTTCCTTCCTCTCATTTCCTTTCTTTCCTTTCCTTTCCTTCCCTTTCCCTCTTTTCTTCCCCTTCATTTTTCTTCCTTTCCCTCTTTTCTTCCCTTCCCTCTTTCCTTCCCTTCCTTTTCCTTCCTCTCCTCTCCTCTCTTTCTTTTCCTTTCCTTTCCCTCTTTTCTTCCCTTTTCTTTCCTCTTTCCTCCCCTCCCCTCCTGCCTTCCCTTCCCTTCCTCTCTTTATCCATTCCAGCTACTATTCAATTGCTCTTAATTGCTGCAGGGTTCTTTTTCTCCCTCTCTGGGGGGGGGAGGGGGAGGGAGAGAATTTCCAGCGTTTTAGCTGAGATCCAGAGGGACCGAAGCGCGAGGCTTGAATGTCAAAAAGAGCTGAAGAGCAGAGCCAAAGGCGGAGAGCTTCAGAGAGCGTGGCTTAATATTTGATCTCGTCTTCCAGATGTTGCTCGATTCCAGCTGCTCGGCTCTCTTCCCCACAGTCCTTTATAGGTTGTCTGTAAGCAGGCCTCTCTCTTTGGCTCTGTCTGTCCTTCCTCTCCCCCCCCCCCAGAGCCTACTCCTTCCACGTAAGCGCAGACGGGCAGATGCAGCCGGTGCCCTTCCCGCCCGACGCCCTGATCGGCTCCGGGATCCCGCGCCACGCCCGCCAGCTGCACACGCTCTCCCACGGCGAGGTGGTCTGCGCCGTCACCATCAGCCACTCCACCCAGCACGTCTACACGGGGGGCAAAGGCTGCGTCAAGGTCTGGGACGTGGGGCAGCCGGGCACCAAGACCCCCGTGGCGCAGCTGGACTGCCTGGTAAGCAAAGCAGGAGTGGCCCTGAACGGCCGTGGGCCAAGCTTTGGGTCGAGTCTGGATTGGATGTTGTGATGACCCTTCCTCATCTTTCCATTCTTCCCTTCCCCCTTCCTTCCTTAATTCCTTCCTTTTATCCATCCACTCCTTCCTCTCTCCCTCCTTCCCTCCTTTCTCTCCCCCTCTTTCCATCCTTCCCTTCTTTCCCTCAGTCTCCTCTTTTTTCTTCTTCCCTCAGTCTCTTCTTCCTTCTTTTCTCTCCCTTCCTTCATTCCCTCCCTCCCTCCCTCCCCCTCTTTCCACTTTTCCCTTCCTTCACTCCTCCCTTTCTCCTTCCCTTCTTCCTTCTCTTTCACTCCTTTCCTGTCTTTCCTTCTCTCCTTTCTTCCCTTCCTTCCCTTCTTGCTCTCCTTCCCTGCCTCCTTCCTTTACTCCCACTTTCAATCCTCCTTCCTTCCTTCCTTCCTTCCTTCCATAGCCAATTGAAAGAAACCCTCCCTCCCCCCCCCAGCTATTTTCTTAGCTTTAAATCTTTCCGGCAAATGCTCATCCTTCCAAGAAACACTTATGGTGGTTTATAGCATGAATGCTTTACACTGACATCTAGATTTAAAGTCGGGCTGTCTTATTTTTACGGCTCTCCTACCTTTCTTCCTGCTTTTAATGCTCACCAAATGAGCCAGGAACTTTTCTGTTAACAATCTCCTCCAAGGCTCCAGAAGGGAGGAATTGTATCTTTCCCAGAGAGCAGATTTGAGGACCCAATCCCCTGCCCCTCACAAGGGATAATACCTGCAACATAACACCCCAGATTTAACAATTGTCGATAAGAAAGACAAAAAAGTCTGGATAGTGGACGTGGCAGTGCCTGGAGACAGCAGAATAGACGAGAAAGAACTGGGAGAAGATAACAAAATACAAAGACCTACAAATAGAAATAGAAAGACTGTGGCAAAAGCAAGCAAGGGTAGTACCAATAGTAATAGGCTCCTTGGGTGCAATCCCAAAACAACTGGAGCACCACTTGAACACCATTGGCATTGACAAATTCGCTATTAGTCAGTTGCAAAAGGCGGCCTTACTAGGAACTGCTTCCATCCTGCGACGATACCTGTAATACCATCAACACTCACATCTGCCTATCCCAGGTCCTGGGTAAGGACTCGATAGGTAGACAAAATGCCAAATCCAGTCTGAACATCTGGCTGACTGTTTGATGATCATATAATAATATAATAATAATAATTAAGAAGAAGAATAAGAAAAAGAAGAAGAAGAGAAGAGAAGAAGAAGAAGAAGAAGAAAAGAAGAGAAGAAGAAGAAAAGCAGAATAGACGAGAAAGAACTGGAGAAGATAACAAAATACAAAGACCTACAAATAGAAATAGAAAGACTGTGGCAAAAGCAAGCAAGGGTAGTACCAATAGTCATAGGCTCCTTGGGTGCAATCCCAAAACAACTGGAGCACCACTTGAACACCATTGGCATTGACAAATTCGCTATTAGTCAATTGCAAAAGGCGGCCTTACTAGGAACTGCTTCCATCCTGCGACGATATCTGTAATACCATCAAACATCCACATCTGCCTATCCCAGGTCCTGGGTAAGGACTCGATAGGTAGACAAAATGCCAAATCCAGTCTGAACATCTGGCTGACTGTGCGATGATCCATAATAATAATAATAATAATAATAATAATAAATAATAATAATAATAAAGTTGGAAGGGACCTTGGAGGTCATCGAGTCCAACCCCCTGCTCAGGCAGGAAACCCTCTACCATGGGGGGATGAGGGGATGCTGTGTCTTCCCCCCCTTTCTGATTTTCTCTTTTCTCTCCCACCCCACCCCTCCCCCCGAAGAACCGAGACAACTACATCCGATCCTGCAAGCTTCTTCCCGACGGCCACAGCCTCATCGTGGGGGGCGAAGCCAGCACTTTGTCCATCTGGGACCTGGCGGCCCCCACGCCCCGGATCAAGGCCGAGCTGACCTCCTCCGCCCCGGCTTGCTACGCCCTGGCCATCAGCCCCGACGCCAAAGTCTGCTTCTCCTGCTGCAGCGACGGCAACATCGTAGTCTGGGATCTGCAGAACCAAACGCTGGTTCGGTAAGGACTCTCCTCCGGACCCGAGGGGCTGCCGTGACCGTTTGGCGTGGGAAAGCACCAACTCCAGGCACCCACCTGGTCACGGAGTTTGGCCATTACACCTCTCACCTTTGGGGGTCCACTTAAAAACAGACCAGGCAGAAGTTTAACTTAATGTTGATTTTAATATTGCCATTAAACCTAATGGTTAATTGAAATATTTCCAGTTTTTCTGCATTGTATCAACCAATAGGGGACTGGAGGCTAAAACATATAAGGAACGGTTGCGGGAATTGGGTATGTCTAGTTTAACAAAGAGAAGGACGAGGGGGGGACATAATAGCAGTGTTCCAACATCTCAGGGGCTGCCCCAAAGAAGAGGGAGTCAAGCTATTCTCCAAGGCGCCTGAAGCTAGGACAAGAAGCAACAGGTGGAAACTAAACAAGGAGAGAAGCAACCTGGAACTAAGGAGAAACTTCCTGACAGTTAGAACAATTAACCAGTGGAACAACCTGCCTCCAGAAGCGGTGAATGCTCCAACACTGGAGGTTCTTTTAAAAAGAGATTGGACAGCCATTTGTCTGAAGTGGTATAGGGTTTCCTGCCTGAGCAGGGGGTTGGACTAGAAGACCTCCAAGGTCCCTTCCAACTGTATTATTGTTGTTGTTGTTGTTGTTGTATAGTGATCGGAAGGCTGGTTCCATAAGACAAAAACAGTCTTCATAAAGATGCCAATTATTTACAGGCTGTTTCCGATATTGATATATTTTTTTTCTCAGCTTGTGGAAGTGGTGGAGACCGTCCACCCCAAGGGAATGCTTTTTTTTGTGATGTTCCACTTATTTCTGGCAGGCATTGGCTATGAAATGCACTCAGGCACACTTTTATGCCCATAAGGACTAGGAACGTGCATGAGTTTGGTTAATGAGTTCCTGAAGATAATGCTACATCCGTGGAATGTGAATGTATTTTTTTTTTTTTTTGCTCATGGTTCTCCTTCTCCTTTCCATCCTCTTCCTCCGTTTTTCTTTTCTTCTTCCTCTTCCTCCTCTTCTTTCCCCCGTCTTCTTTCTCTTCCTGCTCCTACTTCCCTTTCTTCTTCTCCTCCTCCTTCCATGCTGCTTCTCTTGTTCCTTTTCCTCCTCCTCCTCCTTCCTTCCTTCTCCCCTCTTCCTCCTCTCCTTCCTCTTCCCCCTTCTCTTCCATGCTTCTTGTCTTCCCTCTTTTTCCTGTGCTTCTTCCCTTTTTCTTCCACCATCTCTTTTCATTTCCTTCTCCTCCTCTTCCTCGGTGTTCTTCTTTTCTGCTTCCTCCTCCTCCCATGCTTCTTTCCTGCCTTCTCTTTTTTCCTCCTCCTTCTCTTCTTCCATCTGCTCCTCTTCTTCCTCTTCCTTTTCCCCTCCCTCCTCCAATGCTTCTTTCCTTCCTTCTCTTTTTCCTTCCTCATCTTCTCTCTTCTTCTTTCTGCCTCCTCCTTCATCTCTCCCTCTTTTTCTTCCTCTTCCTTTTCCCCTCTTCTCCCATGCTTCTTTCCTTCCTTCTCTTTTTCCTTCCTCCTCTTCTCTCTTCTTCTTTCTGCCTTCTCCTTCATCTCTCCCTCTTTTTCTTCTTCCTTTTCCCCTCCCTCCTCCCATGCTTCTTTCCTTCCTTCTCTTTTTCCTTCCTCCTCTTCTCTCTTTCTCCTTTCCGCCTCCTCCTTCCTCTCCTTCTCCTCTCCCTCCAGGCAGTTCCAGGGTCACACGGACGGGGCAAGTTGCATCGACATTTCCAACGACGGCACCAAACTCTGGACGGGCGGTTTGGACAACACCGTCCGATGCTGGGACCTCCGCGAAGGCCGGCAGCTGCAGCAACATGACTTCAGCTCCCAGGTCAGCCGGGACAGAGGGGAGAAAAGAGGTTGGGGAGCGTAAGAAGGAGGGCCCAGCAAAATTGGGGCAGTCCTGGTGGGATTTCATGCCAGAACTTCCGTAAAACACAAGGGCAGCTTCCTGCTTCCCTGCTCCTCTTGTTAGCTTTATCTCTCCTGAAAACCGTCCTGCCTCTTTTCTGGGTTTCGGTGAGATTGCAACCCTCATTGGGCTTTGGCCATCACGAGGACTAGAATTTTCAGACTTAAATTTAGGGCCGCTTTTAGTTTGCTTGCCTCCGTTTCCTCTTCTTGGGTTTCGGTGAGATTGCAACCTCATTGAACTTTGGCCATCACGAGGACTAGAATCTTCAGACTGAATTTGGGGCCGGTTTTAGTTTCTGCCTCCATTTCCTCTACTTCTGTTGCAAGTGCCCCATCTTTTTCCTTACTGTATTCTACTCTATTCATTCCATGCCATTCCATGCCATCCTGGCCTTCAAACCTTTTTAAACTTTAATTTTCAACTGTCCCTTCCTTCCTTCTTTCCTTCCTTCCTTCCTTCCTTTCTTTCCTTCCTTCCTTCTTCTTTCCTCCTTTCTTTCTTTTTCTTCCTTCCTTCTTTCTTTCTTTCTTTCTTTCTTTCCTCCTTTCTTTCTTTCTTTTCTTTCTTCCTTCCTTTCTTTTTCTTTTTTCTTTCCTCCTTTCTTTCTTCCTTCTTTCCTTCCTTCCTTTCTTTCTTTCTTTCTTTCTTTCTTTCTTCTTTCCTTCCTTCCTTCCTTCCTTTTTTCTTTCCTTTCTTTCTTTCTTTCTTTCTTTCTTTCTTTCTTCCTTCTTTTTTCTTTCCTCCTTTCTTTCTTTCTTTTCTTCTTTCTTTCTTTTTCTTTCTTCCTTCCTTCCTTTTTTCTTTCTTCCTTTCTTTTCTTCCTTCTTTCCTCTTTTTTTCTTTCCTCCTTTCTTTCCTCCTTTCTTTCTTCCTTCCTTCCTTCCTTCCTTCCTTCCTTCCTTCCTTCCTTCCTTCCTTCCTTCCTTCCTTCCTTCCTTCCTTCCTTCTCACCCATCTCCCTCCTTTCTCCCCAGATCTTCTCCTTGGGCTACTGCCCCACGGGAGAGTGGCTGGCGGTCGGGATGGAGAGCAGCAACGTGGAAATCCTCCACGTGACGAAATCGGAGAAGTACCAGCTGCATCTTCACGAGAGCTGCGTCCTCTCCCTGAAGTTCGCTTCCTGTGGTAGGTGTCACTCCTTAAAGGGGCTCCTTTCACCCTTTGTGTTGTGAAGATGCGCTAACTCTGCGTTTTTCCACAATTGGCCACTTTAAGACAGAGGGACTTCAGCTCCCAGAGTTGTACAAGATTACACAACTTTGCTTCTAGGTGTTGGGAGAGAGAAATCGCCCCTTCTCAAGGGTGGCTGGAAGAGCACAAGGGTTGGACTGGATGATCTTTAGGGTACCTTTCAATTTCACTATTTTAGAATTCTACTTTTTCTGCAGACTCCTGAAGGCCGGACTAGATGATCCTTAGGGAACTTTCCAACTCCACGATTTTAGGATTCTTTTTTTTTTCCTGCATCGTGCAGGGGGTTGGACTAGATGATCTTTAGGGTGCCTTCCAAATCCACAGTTTTAGGATTCTAGTTTTTTTTCCTGCACAATGCATAAGATTGGAGTAGAGATGATCTTTGGGGTCCCTTCCAAGTCCACTATTCCGGGATTCTGTGCAAAACATTCCAGGTTTCGGGCACCATTGGGGTGCTGGTGGGGGAAATTCTGGGAGTTGAAGTCCACCTGTCTTAAAGTGGCAGAATTTGCAGAATACTGCTCTAACCGATGGATTTTTATTGCACATTGCCTTAGATACGCAGAACTGTTGAATAGCTCGTTTAAAACAAAACTCCCTAACTGAGTTTGCCTGATCTTGGAAAAAAGCTGACCAGGATCAGACCTCGAAGAGACCCATAAGCTTGCCTCTGTTTATCCCACTTACAGGGAAATGGTTTGTCAGCACAGGGAAGGACAATCTGCTAAACGCCTGGCGGACCCCTTATGGGGCCAGCATATTCCAGGTAAGAGTAGCACCCTGTTCCCAAAATGATGCAAAGCTGTAACTGGCTAATGTTTAATCTTCTCCATTTTATGCTGTATATATAAGTGGGAGGGCCGTATTGCTGCTCACGAAAGCCTATTTTTAGATGTGGCTGTTGTTTATTTTATTTATTTATTTATGAGACTTATATACCGCTTTAAGTGCAAGCACTCTCTAAGCGGTGTACACCAGTAAGCAATGTATGTATGTGTGTGTGTGTGTATATATATATATATATATATATATATATATATATATATATATATATATCCAAATTTCTTTTTCTGACAAAGAATTAAAGAATTAAATTGGGAGACTTAATTAATTCTTTAATTCTTTGTCAGAAAAAGAAATCGCTTTTCTAGTCTGCAAGGCGCTGTATAAATTCAAGGTGTAATCAGTCTGTCTTTGGACGTTTCGACGAAGTCCCATTCGTCATCTTCAGGCTTCGAGCAGCACGAAGCTGAAAACACCAGCCTGAAGATGACGAATGGGACTTCATCGAAACGTCGCCAAGACACTTCCAATTTTACGCGGGAGAAAACCCGAACAACCAAAGACCTACATATATATATATATATATACACACATATATATATATATACATACATACATACATACATACATACATACATACATATATATATATTACATCGCCCCCAACAATCTGGGTCCTCATTTTACCTACCCCGAAAGGATGGAAGGCTGAGTCAACCTTGAGCCGGTGAGATTTGAACCGCTGACCTGCTGAACACAGTCAGCTAAAGTGGCCTGCAGTACTGCACTCTAACTGCTGCGCCACCTCAGGTTGTGTTTGTTTATTGATTAGAAAAGCTCAACGGCCCAGAATTTTGATGCTATAGTAATCTTGAACAATACAGAGAGTCCTCAACTTATAACCACTCGTTTAGTGACCGTTCAAAGTTACAACAAAATATATACGTATGTATGTGTCTGAAGTACTAGTACTGCTTTAGAAAGCCCTAGTAAGACCACACCTGGAATATTGCAGCCAGTTTTGGTCACCAGATCACAAAAAAGATGCTGAAGAGTTTGGAAAAAATTCAGAGAAGAGCAACTAAGATGATCAAAGGCCCGGAGACGAAAACATACGAAGAACGGCTGCGGGACTTGGGTTTGGCCAGTCTAGAGAAAAGAAGAAATAGGGGAGACATGATAGCAGTGTTCCAGCATCTGAGGGGCTGCCACAAGGCAGAGGGGGCCAGGTTGTTCACCAGAGCACCAGAGGGAAGGATGAGAAACAATGGTTGGAAGCTGATCAAGGAGAGAAGCAACCTGGAATTAAGGAGAAGCTTCCTGACAGTGAGAACAATCAACCAGTGAAACAGTTTGCCACCAGAAATTGTGGGTGTTCCATCACTGGAGATTTTTAAGAAGAGACTAGACAGTCACTTGTCTGAGATGGTGTAGGTTCTCCTCCTTGAGCTGGGGGCTGGACTAGAAGACCTCCAAGGTCTCTTTCCGCTCTATCTATCTATCTATCTATCTATCTATCTATCTATCTATCTATCTATCTTTATCTATCATCTATATCTATATTTTATATCTATCTATCATCTATCTATCTATCTCTACCTCTATCATCTATCGATCTATAGATAGATAGATAGATAGATAGATAGATAGATAGATAGATAGATAGATAGATAGATAGATAGATAGATAGATAGATTTTTTGCAGTGCTTTTAAAGAACTTTCTTAAGGATTCTTGTACAAAGTCCAGTAAGACAGTGGCTATTTTGTGAGTAAGATGATGGCAATAATTCCTGTACCAAATAATTCCAAACCACAGGTTGGATTGTTGGGATCTCTTCCGATGCCCTCAATCCATTTACTCGAATTATTCAAGGCAGGAAGAGAACCAAAAACATTGCAAAAAAAGAGACATAAACAGAACTGTTTCGCATCCAACAAAAAAGCACAGCCGAGCCTTCAAGTCAAGGTCAACTAACTCTCTGATGTTTTCACTAACTGTGGTTTTTGCTGATATTGACTGGTCAGGAAACAGATCTTGATATTATGGTAAATACTCTGATAATGTGCAGAAGAGAACTGGGTGAAAAGTCAAAATATTAACCCTATCGTGTGGGACGGAAGGAAGAATTCCATATTAGCAAAACTTGGAAAATAATTTTAAAAGCCTCTTTCTGTGAGTCTTCCTTGTGATGAATAGCATATGGGAATCTATCTCCAAATGAGACAAGATATTGCAGAACGGGAAAAGGTGCAAAATAATAATACTAACACGGATCTGCACATATACTATGTAGATACATTAGACATCCGAAGTTCTTGGGAGGAATTCAATGCATACAGGAAGTCTTCCACTTACGAGCCTGTCATAAGTCGTCGCACTTGTAAAGCCGGTCATCGTATGATCAACTGGATTTAAGATAGGATAGGATAAGGATAGGATAGGATAGGATAGGATAGGATAGGATAGGACAGGAATAGGAATAGGAATAGGAATAGGAATAAGAATAGAATAGGAAAAGAAGAGAAGAGAAGAGGTCATCTAGTCCAACCCCCTGCTCACGCAGGAAACCATATACCATTTCAGACAAATTTATGACGGTTGCAGTGTCCCAAGGTCACGCAGTCCCCTTTTACGACCTTCTGACTGCTTAGGTTAATGGGGAAACCAGATTCGCTTCACCATTATGTTACTAACTTAACAACTTAGTGTCTCTTAAGTTGTGGAAGGATGCAAATTTTTGGGTAAGGGGTTTGCGGGATGGCAAAGGTTTATAACTTAAATTGCGGAAAATCCAATTAAAAGATGTATGGGTCGGCCCTGACTGGATGCCCACCATACACAGAGCCAAAGTTAATAAGCTTGACAGGCCCCGTACACCATACAGGTTGTCCTCAATTTATGACCAGCGGTTCACTTAACGACTGTGGCAGGAAAAGTCGTAAAACTGAGCAAAACTCAATAATAATAATAAGAAGAAGAAGAAGAAGAGGAAGAAGAAGAAGAAGAAGAAGAAGAAGAAGAAGAAGAAGAAGAAGAAGAAGAAGAAGAAGAAGAAGAAGAAGAAGAATAAGAAGAAGAAGAAGACGAAGAAGAAGAAGAAGAAGAAGAAGAAGAAGAAGAAGAAGAAGAAGAAGAAGAAGAAGAAGAAGAAGAAGAAGAAGAAGTTGGAAGGGACCTTGGAGGTCATCTACTCTAACCCCCTTCTCAAGCAGGAAACACTATACCATTTCAGACAAATGGCTGTCCAGTCTCTTCTTAAAAACTTCCAGTGTTGGAGCATTCACCGCTTCTGGAGGCAGGTTGTTCCACTGGTTAATTGTTCTAACTGTCAGGAAGTTTCTCCTTCGTTCTAGGTTGCTTCTCTCCTTGGTTAGTTTCCATCTGTTGCTTCTTGTCCTTCCTTCAGGCGCTTTGGAGAATAGCTTGACTCCCTCTTCTTTGGGGCAGCCCCTGAGATATTGGAACACTGCTATCGTGTCCCCCCTCATCCTTCTCTTCGTTAAACTAGACATACCCAATTCCAGCAACCGTTCCTCATATGTTTTAGCCTGCAGTCCCCTAACTGTCCCCTAACTTGTCTCGCTTAGAAATGGAAATGAGGGGCTCTGTTGTGGTCATTAAGTCGAGGACTACCTCTTCTACACACCCACACCCGTCTCCCTTTGCGTAACCTTCCCTTCTTCCTGTCTCCACAGTCTAAAGAAACCTCATCCGTACTTAGCTGCGATATTTCCACAGACGATCAATTCATCGTCACCGGATCTGGGGACCAGAAGGCGTCTGTTTACGAAGTCATGTACTGACCCGAGTCCCGGCGTTGTTCCAAACTGACCGCAAGAGAAAGGGGCAGCTGTTTTGTGCGCCCCTTCTCGGGTTTTTTTTTTTTTATCCAGCCAAAGAATAAATCCCCTCAACAAGTCCGGGAACGGAACCAGGAACCTGGAACCCACAACGAGGACGCCGGGTGGGTTGTGCGAATGCAGCCGGCTCCGTCTTCCACGCAACCCAATGCATTTGCGGAGCTTTGCGGTTTCTCTCCCGAGTTGTTCTTATCGTGGCATGGTGGGAACAAGGGTTGGCTCTCTCTCTTTGGTGTGTGTGTGTGTGTGCGTGAGTGCGCGCAAGTGTGTGTTCACATTGAAATTTCTTGGAAAAGTTTGTTGTGTATTCTAATTTTTTTTTCTTTTTTTAAAGAAAAAGGAAATACGAACTTTCAATAAAGAGATGATGGTGTTTGGGTTACTTGACCTATCTCGATCTCTTCCATTTTGCGAGAATCCTTCGGGTGAAAAAGGGGTGGGGCTTCCCTCGCACGCTGAGGGGGGTCGGGCGCCATCTTGACTTAATTGACCTACCCAGGGCCTTTGTGCAACTCTGAAAAACACCTTAGTTTTTCTAAGCGTGTTCAGAGTGCAGAAGAACTGAAACATTTCAGAAAGTTGAAGACAGAGGGAGGTAAGACGGAATAGCGATAGGGACAAGATTTTAGTCTTTTTTTATATATTAAAAAAATGCTTCTAGTGCTTGGGAACACGATTGTGGATCCTGGAAGGTTGTGGGAAACTTAGAAAGTTTGCCAGATTGCAAATGTTTACAACTTAAATTGTAGAAAATCCAATTAAAAGATTTATTGAAGGGCCCTGACTGGATGCCCACAATACACAGAGCCAAAATTAAAAACTTCACAGGTCCTGTATCCCATACAGGTAGTCCTCAATTTATGACCAGTCACTATCTACCTACATCTACCTATAGCTCTCTCTCTCTATATATATATCTAATAATAATAATAACAGTAAAGTTGGAAGGGACCTTGGAAGTCATCTAGTCCAACCCCCTGCTCAGGCAGGAAACCCTACACCATTTCAGACAAATGGCTGTCCAGTCTCTTCTTAAAAACTTACAGTGTTGGAGCATTTACTGCTTCTGGAGGCAAGCTGTTCCACTGATTAATTGTTCTCACTGTCAGGAAGTTTCTCCTTAGTTCTAGGTTGCTTCTCTCCTTGATTAGTTTCCACCCGTTGCGTCTTGTCCTGCCTTCAGGTGCTTTGGAAAATAGCTTAATTCCCTCTTCTTTATGGCAGCCCCTGAGATATTGGAATACTGCTATCATGTCCCCCCCCTTGTCCTTCTCTTCGTTAAACTAGACATACCCAATTCTAGCAACCGTTCCTTATATGTTTTAGCCTCCAGTCCCCTAATCATCTTTGTTGCTCTTCTCTGTACTCTTTCTAGAGTCTCAAGAGTACAGAGAAGTATCTATGTATCATCTATCTATCTATCTATCTATCTATCTATCTATCTATCTATCTATCTATCTATCTATATCATCGGTCATCTGTCATCTATCCATCTATCTTGGATTAGAAGACTTAAAGTCCCTTCCACTCTATTACTGTTAATCTGTTATCTACAAATTTGAAAAACATGAAAAATCAACAAAGAAAATAGAAAAAAGGACCAAATGCAAGATAAAAGGGCAGAGAGGGGAAAAAAGGAATGGCTTCCAGACTTTGTTTTTCTTACAGATAATAGATTAAAAACACACATCTGACTCGTAACATTAACAAGCGTCTCCATTACCTCTATAAACCCGTGTCATTCTAATCCCCAAATCAAAGTTTTGTTTCTCTCCGTTTCTCATAAATAGTCCAAGAGTGGCTTTCAATTAGAATTGTTGATTAGCTGGGGTTGGACTTTTTCCCACATGCTCCAGTACAACTTCCTTTGGTTCAGGAAACAGGGATTCCCCAACCAGCATTAATGGACTTCAACGCCCATAATCCCCCCAACTAGCATTCTGGCCAGGGAATTCTGAGAATTGAACTCCACTCATCTTCAAATTGCCATGGCTGGATACTATTCTAATAACATCATAAAAGTTTGTTTGTTTGTTTGTTTGTTTTAAAAAATAAGCTTTACAGGTTTTACATATTTTTATGTTTTATTTTTCCATCTATGCACTTAACATTTGGAAAGTTCTTTCCCTAAACAGATTGAGCTAACAAATTTTTGTACATTATGTTCAAAAGTGCAAAAAGAACATTAAGAGGCATGCATCTGTGGTTTTCCGAAAAGCAGCAATCATCATCATGTGAGCTACTAGTCTCGCTGTGAGAATCAGTGGCCAATAATAATGTTGGCTAGATTCTCATGATGTGCTTAACCAGGTCAATGGTGGAAATTCTTGTGTGGTCCTTCTAATCTGGTTGGGTGTTTGGGGAAAAAAAAGCAGACCGGTTTAACCCTAAAATGTATCAAAGTATTTATGAATCAAATCTGGGTCAGCCAAAGTAGGCAATCATAGAGTAATAGCCTAGAGTGGTCCACTCAGTCCTCCAGGAAAAAGAGGGAGCTGCAGAACAGCTGAAACAGGACAGTGACGGATCCAGCCCATGTGTGCAAAAAAGTGGGCTAACTACAGATAATCCTCAATTTACAACCATAATGCATCCTAAGGGGTAATTCCCCCGCCCCAGAAACAAATATTTTTCCAGCAAAAACGTCATAAGCTGAAGTAAACATCTGTAAATGAGGGCCAGGTCGTAAGAAGCTGTTGGTCACATGACCACAGAGGTGAACAAGAAGTTGCAACTTTAAATAAGTCCCATTTTGGGGGGACCGTCGTAACTTCGAACAGTCACTAAGCAACTGATCATAAGTCAGGGATGACCTGTGGATCTACCTGCAAGGTGTAAATGCAGCCACTTTTTTGCTTGGACCCCAAAAAATGAAAATACGAACTGCAGCATTCAGGTGGCCAGAACGTGGGTGGGGCTCTGATTAGCCAGATGCGGATTGGCTGCTCAGCTTGTCAAACACACCATTCTGAGGTGATTTTTCTGGACCCTTCAGGGAGATAATGAAAAGATTTTGGTCCATTGGGGACCTGAAAGACACCCAAACAAGCACCCCTTGCTTCTTGAGAGGAGAAAAATATCTTCCTGACACTCTCAGCTCTCAAGTTTCTAGTCCTCCTGCGTCTGCAAAGGGATGGAAGCGCCAAGGTCGTTTCAGCACCACAGTCTCCGAAGCCAGTGGGGAAAATACATTTTTCCGGAGAACGGAAAGCGTTTGGGCCTCCTTAGCCATCCAAGGTGAGGAACGTGGTGCCTCAGTAGACCAGTTCGTAAACTGTGGCTTTCTTGTCTCCTGATCCAGTCACGATAAACTTGTCATTAGCCGAGATGTCACAGCTTAGAACGGAGGAAGTTTCTTTGGACTGCAAAAGAAAGCAAGGAAATGAAGGGAAGAAACGGATGGATTCTGCCGACATTCACATTCGGGAAATTCGTCAGATTTGCACAAGACGTCTCGATTGGCAATGCCAATTACTGGTGTCTCCTTTTGGCAATCTTTGGTGCCACCACAACGACTGAATAATAGCCCTGGATTAACTATTAACTGAAATAAGCCGTGTTTAGGGAGGTAACACAGCTTTTTCCCCCGCTAGCTACCAGGCCGTTAATTCTTTCACTGCTACACTCCACCGAAATTGAATTTTTTTGTAATGGTCCTTATCCTCCATATTCAACCTTAATCAGGTGGAATTTAAGGTGGTAGGTGGTCAACTGGCGCTCTATCAACAGAGGCAGTTTTGCCTAGTGGTTAAGGTACCAGGTTAAAAACTGGGAAACTGTTTAGTCCCACCTTAGGCAGAAAAGACAGCTGGGTGACTTTGGACCAATCACCAGGAAACGGTGAGTTCTAGTCCTGCCTTAGACATGAAAGCCGGTTGGGTGACTTTGGACCAATCACCAGGAGGCAGTGCTAGTCCCGCCTTAGGCAGGAAAGCCAGCTGGGTGACTATGGACCAATCACCAGGAGACATTGAATTCTAGTCCCGCCTTAGGCATGAAAGCCAGCTGGGTGACCTTGGCCCAATCACAAGGAAACGGTGAGTTCTAGTCCTGTCTTAGGCGTAAAAGTCATCCAAGTCAATCTCTCCCTCCCTCCCTCTCTCTCTCTCTCAGCTCAACCCACCACACAGGCCTGTTGTCGGGACAACAGGAGAAGGGAGGAATTGTTAGATATATTAGCAAGTTATTTATAAAAATAAAGGTGGGATAAAATTATAAATTATTTAAATTAAAAAATTAAATTATTAAATTAAATTAATTACATTAATTAAATTAAAAAAAATTAATTTCAATTAAATTAAATTTGATCTCATGCCCATGGTTAGGACAAGAGCAGTTGTCTAGAATTACGCCCGAATATTTATGCTGAAGGAAAAGTCCCACCTTCTATGGTAGCTCTAAGACAGTGGTTCTCAACCTTTTTAATGCCGCGACCCCCAACAGGTCGTAAGTCGAGGACTACTCAACCGGTCGTAAGTCGAGGACTACTCAATTGGTGCAGCACCATTTGCAGAATGGGACTTTTGGCGGGCTCAGCAGGGCAGAGACAGCCTGGACAATTCCTATTGGCTTTTGAAAGCCAATAGAATTAGACTCTATTCAAGAGAGTCTATTCTATTGGCTTTCAAAAGCCAGCAGAATAAAAGGGAGTAGCACAGCTAAGGAAAAGGGGAAAAAATGGCAGACTGCGTTGTTTGGTGACCCCCATGAAATGGTCGTTCGACCCCAGATGGGGTCCCGACCCACAGGTTGAGAACCACTGCTCTAAGAAGTGAGCCACGTTACAACCTGGGTCCTCTTAAAACCAATCCCAGCTGAATCGTACCGTCTCCTTCCCCATCCAGAAATCCCCTGATCACTTTGCATTTTCTGCAGAGAGCAAAAGCATTCAACCAACAGCTTTGCAAGCCTCAGTCTCCATTACCTGAAAGATGCTGGCACCATAGGGAGCCCGCCACGCGTTAAGCAGATTATCTTTGCCCGTGCTGATAAACCATTTGCCTATAGTGAGAGAGGAGAGGAAAAATAGAGAAGAGATCCGGTCTGTGTGCCTGAACATTACAGATGGGAAGGGAGAGAGCCCCTTCTGAAGTCCCAGGAGCCATTTAAGAGTGCTCATTTAGTGACCATTCCAAGTTACAATGGCACTGAAAAAAGAAAAGAAGAAGAAGAAGAAGGAGAAGGAGAAGGAAGGAGAAGGAGAAGGAGAAGAAATAGTAGTAGTAGTTGGAAGGGATCTTGGAGGTCATCTAGAAATTAGATATTAGAATTGGGTATGTCTAATGAAGAGAAGGACGAGGGAGGACATGATAGCAGTGTTCCAATATCTCAGGGGCTGCCCCAAAGACAAGGCAGTCAAGCTATTCTCCAAAGCACCCAAAGGCAGGAGAAAAAGCAACGGATGGAAACTAAAATCAAGGAGAGAAGCAACCTAGAACTAAGGAGAAACTTCCTGACAGTTAGAACAATTAACCAGTGGAACAACCTGCCTCCAGAAGTGGTGAATGCTCCAACACTGGGGGTTTTTAAGAAGAGACTAGACAGCCATTTATTTGAAATGGTATAGGGCACAGGTCGGCAACCTGCGGCTCCGGAGCCGCATGCGGCTCTTTGAGCCTTCCCCTGTGGCTCCCAGCCTCCTTTGCCTTTGCAGAGAGAGACAGAGACAGAGAGAGGCAATTGCACTTCCCTGCTTCTCTCTCTCTCTCTCTCTCTCTGTGTGTCTGGGTGTGTGTGTGTGTCTGTGTGTGTATGTGTAAAAGAGAATGCACTCACAGTGTTCTCCGAGGAGCTGAAAAGCTTACTGGGCGGAGCTCCTCCCTTTGCTGCGTCTCAGCAGGAAGCAGGAAGGGCAGGAGAGAGCTAGCTAGCCCAGCTAGGCTGACTCAGGAATTCTGGGAGTTGAAGTCCATGAGTCATAAAAGAGACGAGGTTGCTTACCCCCGAGCTTGTTGGACAACAGCTTGAAGCTTGCCAGGTGAGCAGCAGATAGGAGGGGGGGAGAAAGAGAGGGAGAGAAATAGAGAGAGAGAGGGAGAGGGGGGGAAGAGGAGTGGCAGACCAAGGGCAGATAGAGAGGGAGGGAGAGAGAGAAACAGAGAGAGAGAGAGACCCTTTTGACATCTAAAATGAAGATAACACTGCATATATCCTGTGTGTATGTAATTTTATTCTCTTAAAGCATTCTCCTGGTGATCATTGTTTTAATAGTATGGATATTCCCAAGTCATATTTTTACTTTTATTTTTAATGTCATATTTTTACTTTTATTTTTACTTTTATTTTTAATATACACACATACATACATACACACACACACAAACACACACACACCTATAATAAAGGTAAAAAAGGATATATGCAGTGTTATCTTCATTTTAGATATCAAAAGGATTTTGCGGCTCCCGGTGTTTTGTTTTTGGTGGGAAACGGGTCCAAGTGGCTCTTTGAGTGTTTTCGGTTGCCTACCCCTGGTATAGGGTTTCTTGCCTGAGCAGGGGGTTGGACTAGATGACCTCCAAGGTCCCTTCCAACTTTACTATTATTAATTATTATTAGCCATCTTCCTTTCCTCACACGAGGGCCACATTCAGACAACATATGGAATGTGGTAGTTCAATTAACCCTTGCGGAGAAATTGTCCAATACATCAAGTCATGAATATATCCAATGCCTTGCTTTGTACCACTAAACCACCCCACCCCACCCCAACATTTAAAAGCATCCAGCTTATAGAGAATAGAATAACAGAGTCGGAAGGGACTTTGGAGGTCCTCTAGTCCAACCCCTCACTCACGTAGGAAACCTTATACTGGGGGTCTTCAAACTTGGCAACTTTAAGCCTTATGGACTTCAACTCCCAGAATTCCTCAGCCAGCCCTGGCTGGCTGAAGAATTCTGGAACTTGAAGTCCACAAGTCTACCATTCCGGATAAATGGCTGTCCAATCTCTTCTTCAAAAACCACCACCTTCAAATCTTTTTGATTATTTTTTTTTTCTTTCCTGCATTTTATTGTGGTGTGCAACTGTGACTTGGCTAAGTGGGTTGCACAAATGCAACCAGGGGGATGACAGATGGTTTAGTAAGGATGGCTAGACCTTCAACAGCAGCCTCCTCTTTCTTACCCACGCAACCTACCACAGGAAGCGAACTTCAGGGAGAGGACGCAGCTCTCGTGAAGATGCAGCTGGTACTTCTCCGATTTCGTCACGTGGAGGATTTCCACGTTGCTGCTCTCCATCCCGACCGCCAGCCACTCTCCCGTGGGGCAGTAGCCCAAGGAGAAGATCTGGGGAGAAAGGAGGGAGATGGGTGAGAAGGAAGGAAGGAAGGAAGGAAGGAAGGAAGGAAGGAAGGAAGGAAGGAAGGAAGGAAGGAAGGAAGGAAGGAAAAGAAAAGAAAGAGAAAGAAAGAAGAAAGAAAAAGGAAGAAAGAGGAAGGAAGGAAGGAAGGAAGGAAGGAAGGAAGGAAAAGAAAAGAAAGAGAAAGAAAGAAGAAAGAAAAAGGAAGAAAGAAGGAAGGAAGGAAGGAAGGAAGGAAGGAAGGAAGGAAGGAAGGAAGGAAGGAAGGAAGGAAGGAAAAGAAAAGAAAGAGAAAGAAAGAAGAAAGAAAAAGGAAGAAAGAGGAAGGAAGGAAGGAAGGAAGGAAGGAAGGAAGGAAAAGAAAAGAAAGAGAAAGAAAGAAGAAAGAAAAAGGAAGAAAGAGGAAGGAAGGAAGGAAGGAAGGAAGGAAGGAAGGAAGGAAGGAAGGAAGGAAGGAAGGAAGGAAGGAAGGGAAGAAGGGACAGTTGAAAATTAAAGCTTAAAAAGGTTTGAAGGCCAGCATGGCATGGAATGGCACAGAATGAATATAGAGTAGAGTAGAGTAGAATAGAATAGAATAGAATAGAATAGAATAGAATAGAATAGAATTATGGGATGGAATAGAATAGAATAGAATAGAATAGAATAGAATAGAATAGAATAGAATAGAATTATGGGATGGAATAGAATAGAATAGAATAGAATAGAATAGAATAGAATAGAATAGAATAGAATAGAATAGAATAGAAATATGGGATGGAATAGAATAGAATTATGGGATGGAATGGAATGGAATGGAATAGAATAGAATAGAATAGATCAGTGTTTCTCAACCTTGACAATTTTAAGGCATGTGGACTTCAACTCCCAGAATTCCACAGCCAGCATTGCTGGCTGTGGAATTCTGGGAGTTGAAGTCCACATACCTTAAAATTGTCAAGGTTGAGAAACACTGGAATAGATGGTAAGCCCATTGAAGTCATGTGATTTTCCACTTAGTGATGGAATTGCTGGTCCCATTGCTAAATGAGGACTACCTGTAATCATCACCACCTTGTCTAATATTTGTGTGCCAAGATCCCACCCCCTTTTCAGGGTTGATTTGTTGCTATTGGAGACCCCACCCGCTGATAGGCTGTCCATCAAAAGTCTCCACCCCTTCCCCAGCTGACCTGGGAGCTGAAGTTGTGTTGCTGCAGCTGCCGGCCTTCGCGGAGGTCCCAACATCGGACAGTGTTGTCCAAACCGCCGGTCCAGAGTTTGGTGCCATAATTGGAGATATCGATGCAGCTCGCCCCGTCCGTGTGACCCTGAAACTGCCTGCAAAGGGGACACAGAATCCAGCAAAAAACTCCCAGCTTCTTATTTATTTTTATTCTGTCACAATCACCTCACAAAAAAAAAATGGTAATTAAAATCAAGTCACGTGTAGGCACCTCACTTTACAACCGTCGCAATATAAGGCAGAAATTCCAGCCTCTGTTATGGTTGTAAGTCGAGGACTACCTGTATCTGTTTCGGGGGCTGGGAGTACCTTAGCCAGTGTGTTTTTTTCTGAACAAACCAGGTTTAAACAATGTATGGTTTGAATAAATGTCAGCAGAAGAATAAAATCGACAATAATAGTAGCAGCAGCAGCAGCAGCATACAACCGAAAGCTTTCGTTTGGTTCTTATTAAAGTTGAAGAAATATTTTAGTTCTTCTGCTTCGGGAATGAAGAAGGATTTAAATACAGGCGGTCCTCAACTTATGGAGCCCACGATGTCCATTGCTTAGCAATGAAGTCGTTAAGTGAGCTTTGTCCTATTTTACACCCTTTCTTTGCACGAGTTCTGAAGCGAATCACTGCAGTTGTTAAATGAATCGTGTGGTTGTTAAGGGGAATTTGGCATCCCTCATTGACTTTATGTTGTGGTTCTGATAGAGGAGACCAGTAGAAATAAGAACTCTGAGGCAATTATTTCCTCAAAGAACAATTTTAATGGCTATGTAATATCAGCATGAACATAGGTGAAACCAAGACTGAAAGGGGCTGCCCCAAAGAAGAGGGAGTCAAGCTATTCTCCAAAGTGCCTGAAGGCAGGACAAGAAGCAACGGATGGAAACTAAGCAAGGAGAGAAGCAACCTAGAACTAAGGAGAAACTTCCTGACAGTGAGAACAATTAACCAGTGGAACAACCTGCCTCCAGAAGCGGTGAATGCTCCAACACTGGAAGTTTTTACGAAGAGACTAGACAGCCATTTGCCTGAAATGGTATAGGGTTTCCTGCCTGAGTAGGGGGTTGGATTAGATGACCTCCAAGGTCCCTTCCAACATTATTATTATTATTATTATTATCATCATCTTCATCATCATCATCATCATCATCATCATCATCATCATGATGGAACTGAAGAAGCAAAACCAGCTCTGAGTTTCCTGCGCAAAAGCAGGGGAATAATAGATTCCCTTACTCCCACCCATTGGGTATTCACATTGTCCAAAAGAATAGAGCTGGAACGGACCTTGAAGGTCTTCTAGTCCAGCCCCCCCCCCACTCAAGCAAGAGAACCTATACCATTCCAGACAAATGGCTCTCCAGTCTCTTCTTAAAAACTTCCAGTGCTGGAGCACCCACAGCTTCTGGAGGCAAGTTGTTCCACTGGTTAATTGTTCTGTCAGGAAGTTTCTCCTTAGTTCCAGGTTGCTTCTCTCCTTGATTAGTTTCCATCCGTTGCTTCTTCTCCTGCCCTCAGGCGCTTTGGAGAATAGCTTGACTCCCTCTTCTTTGGGGCAGCCCCTGAGATATTGGAACACTGCTATCATGTCCCCCCACATCCTTCTCTTCATTAAACTAGATATACCCAATTCCAGCAGCCTTTATTGGTGTATCCAATAAATTTTTACCTTTTGGGATTTAACTGTCTAGCGTCTACCACTGACCTTCTAAAACAATCTTGGGAAATACCAGACTAGACATCGTCGATCTCACCTAACCATGGTTTGGTTCTGCAGATCCCAGACCACGATGTTGCCGTCGCTGCAGCAGGAGAAGCAGACTTTGGCGTCGGGGCTGATGGCCAGGGCGTAGCAGGCTGGGGCAGAGGAGGTCAGCTCGGCCTTGATACGGGGCGTGGGGGCTGCCAGGTCCCAGATGGACAAAGTGCTGGCCTCACCCCCAACGATGAGGCTGCGGCTGTCGGGAAGAAGTTTGCACGAACGGATGTAATTATCTCGGTTCTGGAGGGAGAAAGGCAGAAAGTTATCTAAACCTCACAGCCTAGTTTCCCCTCCATCCTACCCCCTGGCATCTCTCAAAATTATTAGGAAGGTGGTTCGAAAATATCTTTACAGTCCTAAGGACTAGAAACTTGCCGACCTTTTTTTAATGGAAAGTACTGGAGGAAGCTGATTTTACCGAATAAGAGAGTTGGAAAAGACCTTGGAGGTCTTCTAGTCCAGGGGTAGGCAACCTTGGCCCTTTTATGACTGGTGGACTTCAACTCCCAGAATTCCTGAGCCAGCCACGCTGAGGAGAAATGGAGAGGTTTCCATGCTGAGCCATGCTGGCTCAGGAATTCTGGGAGTTGAAGTCCACACGTCATAAAAGAGCCAAGGTTGCCTACCCCTGCTATAGACCAACTCTACATCCGGTGGAACTACTGGTTTGTACCTTTAGAGTAGGGGTCTTCAAACTGGGCCTATTATGACTCGTGGACTCTAGCTCCCAGAATTCCTGAGCCAGCATGGCTCAGCTTGGAAACCTCTCCCTTTCCCCTCAGCATGGCTGGCTCAGGAATTCTGGGAGTTGAAGTCCACGCGTCATAAAAGAGCCAAGGTTGCCTGCCCCTGTTCTAGTCTAACCCACTGCTTGAGCAAGAGACCCCCCCCCCCAAATGGGCTGGCTGAGGAATTCTGGGAGTTGAAGTCTGCCTATCTTCAAGCCAGCAAGGTTGAGAAACAATTCTATACCATTCTGGAGAAATGGCTCTCCAAATTCTTCTTTAAAAGATCCAGGGATGGAGCACCCACAACCTGTGGAGGCAAATCGTTCCACTGATTAGTTGTTCTCACTGTCAGGAAATCTTTCTTTAATTCTAGGTTCCATCTACAATCACCCAATATTTGGATGGATGTTTCCAGCTTTAGCTTCCTTCCTGTTGGATTTTGAGATGAGAGTTTAAAAAAATTCTCAAAAGCAGAGAGAGAACAAAATTATGGCCGGTGAAAGGAAAAAAAAAACACCGTATTTTCAATGCACATTCGGCCCTGGTAGCAAAGAGGTAGTCCTAGACCAGGGGTAGGCAACCTTGGCTCTTTTATGACTTGTGGACTTCAGTTCCCAGAATTCCTGAGCCGGCATGGTTCAGCTTGGAAACCTCTCCCTGTCCCCTCAGCGTGGCTGGCTCAGGAATTCTGGGAGTTGAAGTCCATGAGTCATAAAAGGGCCACGTTTGCTCTTAATCTTCGTTCTAGGATAGGGGTAGGCAACCTTGGCTCTTTTATGACTTGTGGACTTCAACTCCCAGAATTCCTGAACCAGCATGGCTCAGCTTGGAAACTCTCCCTTTCCCCTCAGCATGGCTGGCTCAGGAATTCTGGGAGTTGAAGTCCCCCAGTCATAAAAGGGCCCAGGTTGAAGACCCGTGATTTAAACAGATAAACTAGGGGAGACTAAAACATATGAATAACGGTTGCAGGAATTGGGTATATCTAGTTTAATGAAAAGAAAGACTGGAGGTGACATGATAGCAGTGTTCCAATATTTGAAGGGCTGCCATGAAGAAGAAGGGGGTCAAACTATTCTCCAAAGCACCTGAACACAGGACAAGAAGCAACGGATGGAAACTAATCAAGGAGAGAAACAACCTGGAACTAAGGAGAAACTTCCTGACAGTGAGAACAACCAGTGAAACAACCTGCTTCCAGAAGCGGTGAATGCTCCAACACTGGAAGTTTTTAAGAAGAGACTGGACAGCCATTTGTCTGAAATGGTATAGGGTTTCCTGCCTGACCAGGGGGTTGGACTAGATGACCTCCAAGGTGCCTTCCAGCTCTGTTACGTGTTGTGTGAGTGCAGCTGCTACTTGGTACCCAAAACCTGGATCCTGAAAATCAAAGAAACTAATTAAAAGGAGCCCATTTTAGATCCAAAACCCAGCTGAACCGCTTTCATGAATGATAGCAAAACCTCCTCAGATCAAATCCACAGAGATGTGCCCCCTCCAAAAAACATACAACAATAACAACAGAGATTGTTTTTCAGACCATGCTAAAAAAGGTCTTCCCTCTACATACCAGGCAGTCCAGCTGCGCCACGGGGGTCTTGGTGCCCAGCTGCCCCACGTCCCAGACCTTGACGCAGCCTTTGCCCCCCGTGTAGACGTGCTGGGTGGAGTGGCTGATGGTGACGGCGCAGACCACCTCGCCGTGGGAGAGCGTGTGCAGCTGGCGGGCGTGGCGCGGGATCCCGGAGCCGATCAGGGCGTCGGGCGGGAAGGGCACCGGCTGCATCTGCCCGTCCGCGCTTACGTGGAAGGAGTAGGCCCTAGGAGGAGCAGAGAACTAGCGGCTGTTACTGCTAGTCCTCAACATACGACCGCAATGGAGTCCAAAATTTATGTCGCTAAGTCATACCTGTACTTATAATTTTTTGTTTTGTTTTGTTGATAAAAGACATTGGCGATTGCTATCCTAAACCTCCAAAAGTCAACCAATGTTAAGTTATTATTTTAATCTTTTCATGTCTTTTATCTTTTTGTTTTTATCGCTTGTAAATCTTCTAGAGCAGTGTTTCTCAACCTTGACAATTTTAAAGCATGTGGACTTCAACTCCCAGAATTCCACAGCCAGCATTGCTGGCTGTGGAATTCTGGGAATTGAAGTCCACATGCCTTAAAATTGTCAAGGTTGAGAAACACTGTTCTAGAGTCACCTCTGGGCAAGATGGATGGCATAGAAATAAATAAATACATAAAATACATAAAACACTGCCCGTGCTTGCAATCCACTAAGAAAAATCACCGTTTCCTGTTCTCCCAACCAGGAAACACGACTTACCGTTTGCTGCCAGAGACTGCAGGGAGGGAGGCCGAGAGAGGGGATCCCCGCAAGTGTGGGTGAGATTCAAAAGCCACCTGTGGAAACCAAGGAAGGAATCAGGGATCAATTGGGATTCATGATGAAAATGTGTTGTATCTTTAGAAGCTTTCCAGTTTAACGCTCAGTGTCATGGTTCCGACAGATGAAACCGTTCAAAAGAACTTCGAGGCATTGTTTACCTTAAAGCAGGGCTTTTCAGCCAGTGGTACGGGTACCACCTGTGGTACATTGGCACCTGGCAGGTGGTACGCGAACATCCTAGAAAAGTGGTGGGGGGGAGGGGAATGAGCTGAACCGGTGGCAGCACCGCACAAGCCTGAGCGAGAGACGGCTGGAGCTGCAGGGCTGTCAGGGCTCAGCGGAAGCGCCAGGATCAGCTCTTCTTCGGGCCTGTCAGGGCTCAGCAGAAGTGCCAGGATCAGTGCCAGGCTCCAGCTGGAGCTCAGCGCTGATCCTGGTGTTTCTGCTGAGCCCTGAAGAAGCACCAATCAGCTGGAAAGTGGCACTGATCCTGGTGCTTCCGCTGAGCCCAGAAGAACCGTCGATCAGCTGGAATGTTGCAGCATCTCCAGGGTCATGTGATTTACATTCAGATGCTTGGCAACTGATTCATATTTATGATGGTCACAGTGTCCCAGGGTCATGTGAAGGGACCAAAACCTGCTGCAACCACCCAGCAGACGGGAGGAATAAAAACCAAACACCCCCCCTACCCCACCCCCGCTGCCAATCCTCAACAGAAATTCTCACAACAATAGAAACCTCAGACAGGAGGAAGAGCGCCGCCAGGCGGGCAGGCAGGTGTCTTGCTCGGCTGTGGCTTGGGGGGCACTTTTTTCAGTGCCATTGTAACTTCGAACAGTCACTAAGGGAACTGTTGTAAGTCGAGGACTACCTATACTTTATCACTTTTTTCCTTTTTTTGTGTGTGTGGTCATCAAGTTTTTGACACCTTGCTAGGCGACTGGTGGTACTCGGATACTGCCATATCCTAAAAGTGGTACAATGGGTGAAAAGGTTGAAAAGCCCTGCCTTAAAGGATCTTTTATTCAAGAGCATAATATCGGCACTTACTTAATCGAAGCCAAAAACTGAATTCCCCTCCCCTGGGCACCTAGTATCAAAGCACAATTCCCTCCTCCAATTGACAATCATAAATCACATTCCCCAATTAACTTGAAGCACAAGCTTCCTCTCCAGTTCTCCAGCCTGACAATTCATTATCAGCTCTGGTTAGAAACAACCTTGATTCTCCCCCTGAGTTTAGTGTTGTTATGTCTAGCTTGACTCTCATCCACATCCCCCCTCCCAGCATCATCTAACTCTAAATGCAAAAGGGAAAAGATGGCTACATTTCCATCTGTTGTCAATGCAAAAACATCCAATGTTAGCAGCGCTGACACTCAGCTCTGATGTTATAGAAATGGCTAGTCTATAGACTATGTATGGAAAAGTACAAAATTGCATATATCGACAAAGAACCAAGCCACACAATGCAATGTCCCTTATTCTTCCTTAATTCGTCCCCTCAGCCAATTTGAACGCTCGCCAAAGCAGAAAGACAGAGGCATAGATCAAATGGATTAATACATTTAAAACCATGAGGACTAGAGCCTCACGTCTTCCTTAAAAGAAGGAGCAAAGGCCTTGGTTTGATGTTTTATCTCAGTGTTTCTCAAACTGGGGCCACTTTAAGATGGGTGGATTTCAATTCCCAGAATCCCCCAGCCAGCTCTGTTAGCCATTATTCTGAGACACCTGCTACCTCCTTGCCTCTGGGTTGTAAAGTTGAAGGGAACAATAAAGATCATCAAGTCCATTCCTCCTCATGCTGAAGGGCCATGGCACCTTTAAGACTTGAGGACTTTAATTCCCAGAATTTCCCAGTCAGCACTGAGACACCTGCTACATTCCTGCCTCGGAATTGTACAGTTGAAGGCAACACTAAAGATCATCGAATCCATCCCTCCTCATGCTGAAGGGGTCAGTAAAAATCATCAAGTACTCCCCATGCTGGCTGGGGAATTCTGGGAGTTGGTCCTTAAAGCAGGGGTCATCAGACTTGGCCCTTTTATGACTTGTGGACTTCAACTCCCAGAATTACTCAGCCAGGCACGCTGGCTGAGGAATTCTGGGAGTTGAAGTCCACAAGTCATAAAAGGGCCAAGTTTGTAGATTCCTGCCTTAAAGTTTCTAAGATTGAGAAACGCTGCTAGTTTAGTACATTATTCGGAGACACCTGCTGCCTCTGGGCTGGGGAATGGCCACTGGTCATGTTTCCTCTCTTAGGTGGATGATGGTCAGAAAATTTGACCAAACTGAGCTTCATTTCAATTTGCTCCCTTTTAAACGCCTCCCCCCACCCCCAAATTCGGAAGGCTGCCCTAAAGCTCACCAGCGGAGACTGTCTGTATCCTCCGGGGCCTGCAGAAAGATGGATGCCGACATAGGAACTCGGTGCAGCTAATTCGCCATTGAGGCCGGCGTGAGGCATCATCCCGAAGGGCGAAGCAAAACTGCTGGTGAAAGAATTTAGCGGACTCCGCAAGGCTTATTTGAGAGAGAGAGAGAGAGAGAGAGAGAGGTGCGTTCTTTTCAGCCAGATTACAGGTAATCCTTGACTTACAACATGGGTCTTCAAACTTGGCCCTTTTATGACTGGTGGACTTCAACTCCCAGAATTCCTCAGTCGGCCATTTTGCTGACACTGCGGGCTTGGATCCAGATCAGGGGTCTTCAAACTTGGCCCTTTTATGATTTGTGGACTTCAACTCCCAGAATTCCTCAGCCAGGCCTGGCTGAGGAATTCTGGGAGTTGAAGTCCACAAGTCATAAAAGGGCCAAGTTTGAAGTCCCCTCACTTACAACCACGACTGAGCTCAACAATTCTGTTGCTAAGCGAGGCAATTTGTTACGTGAGTTTTGACCCATTTTACAACCTTTCTTACCACAGTTATTAAGTAAATCACTGCTGCTGTTAAGTTGGCAACGGGGTTATAAAGTGAACCTGGCTTCTCCCATTGACTTTGCTTGTCAGAAGGTCGCAAAAGGGGATCACGTGACCCCGGAGACACTGCGACCGTCATAAATATGAGCCAGTTGCCAACTGTCTGGATTTCGAACACGTGACCATGGGGATGTTGTAATGGTCGTAAGTGTGAAAAACGATCATAGGTCACTTTTTCAGTGCCGTTTTAACTTTGAACGGTCACTAAACGAACTGTTGTAAGTCAAGGACTACCTGGACATTTAAGCAACTTCTGAGTGTGCCAATTGTTCTGCAGAAGTCAAAAAAAGTTGCATTTTCTCACATTAAGGACCCCACTGCCAGTGGCTGGAAGCTGGAAGCATTTTGGGAAAGTGGGCGCTAGGGAGGATCATCCTCTGTCCCCCCAAATCTGCCCAGCTCAGGGTACTGCAAATGCCAACATTGTTTAGATGATTGTTTAGATTATTTAGTAGCAACTGTGAGAGGGATCTCAGAGTCCTAGTGGACAATCACTTAAACATGAGCCAGCCGTGTGCTGCAGCTGCCAAAAAAGGCCAACACGGTGCTGGGCTGCATGAACAGAGAGATAGAATCAAGATCACGTGAAGTGTTAATATCACTTTATAACACCTTGGTAAGGCCACACTTGGAATCCTGCATCCAGTTTGGGTCACTTAGATGTAAAAAAGATGTTGAGACTCTAGAAAGGATGCAGAGAAGAGCAACAAAGATGATCAGGGGACTGGAGGCTAAAACATATAAGGAAAGGTTGATGGAATTGGATATGTCTAGTTTAACGAAGAGAAGGACGAGGGGGGACATGATAGCAGCCTTCCAATATCTCAGGGGCTGCCCCAAAGAAGAGGGAGTCAAGCTATTCTCCAAAGCACCTGAAGGCAGGACAAGAAGCAACGGATGGAAACTAATCAAGGAGAGAAGCAACCTGGAACTAAGGAGAAACCTCCTGATAATTAGAACAATTAACCAGTGGAACAACCTGCCTCCAGAAGCGGTGAACGCTCCAACACTGGAGGTTTTTAAGAAGAGACTGGACAGCCATTTGTCTGGAATGGTATAAGGTTTCCTGCCTGAGCTTCTTTATTATTATTATTATTATTATTATTATTATTATTATTATTATTATTATTATCATCATCATCATCATCATCATCATCATCATCATTATCATCATCTTGGCAAACAATATAGAAATTGGCAGAAATAAGTAGGAACCAAGAAACCCAGTCAATGACTTACTGATAACATCGCTGGTGGACGGCTTTGCAATCTGAGGCACGTAACTCGGGCCAGCTCGGGGAGTGAGTATTTCAGAGACTGGAGACAAACTGGCTGATTTGGAAGAAGCTGGATTGGTTTCGTTCTGGAAACAAAAGATTGATTTAAGTACAGCAGCGCGGTAAAAGTTTTATTGATTCGTTAGATGGAACCTCCAGGACCTATGGTAGTCTACCTGAATGGGACAGATTGGGGAGGAATATCTTACCTTTATATCCTGATTGAATTATCTCATTGGTCACTTTTGGAAACAAGATGTGGGGACTTTGACTCCCGGAATTCCCCAGCCAGCATTTGTGAACTTCAGCTCCCAGAATTCCTCAATCAACATGTGGACTTCAACTCCCAGAATTCCTCAGCAAGCATGTTTTCCAAACTTGGCAAGTTGTTGAAGTGTAGATTTCAATTTTCCGCAATGCTGGCTGGGGAATTCTGGGAGTTGAACTCCACAAATACTGGCTGAGGAATTCTGGGAGTTGAAGTCCACAAATACTGGCTGAGGAATTCTGGGAGTTGAAGTCTACAAATGCTGGCTGAGGAATTCTGGGAGTTGAAGTCCATGGATGCTGACTGGGGAACTAGCTAGCTCTGAGGTAGGCAACCGTGGCTCTTTTATGACTCGTGGACTTCAACTCCCAGAATTCCTCAGCCAGCATGGCTGGCTCAGGAATTCTGGGAGTTGAAGTCCACGAGTCATAAAAGGGCCACGGTTGCCTACCCTGAGCTAGCTGAACTCTGATTTTTACAGCTGTCCTGCCAGCTGCTGCAACATTGTGCTCTCTGGATAGATTAGGATCTTAAAACCAGGCTGGGAATTCTGGGAGCCGAAGTCCACAGAGTACCAGATTTGGGGGAAACATGTCTTGAAAAGAAGAAACACCCAGAGTCTACTTTCCTTTGGCTTCTATTGAACCCCAATCTATCGATCCCACACAGTAGGGCTGATTCTGGATTCAGGGGAAAGGTATTCCCAGTCCCAGCTTTGCCTCCTTCTCTTGGCTGGGGCTGATGGGTTAGACCAGGGCTTTTCAACCAGTGGTACGGGTACCACCTGTGGTACATTGGCACCTGGCAGGTGGTACGCGAACATCCTAGAAAAGTGGTAGCAGGAGAGGGGAATGAGCTGAACTGGTGGTAGCACCGCACAAGCCTGAGTGAGAAATGGCTGGAGCTGCAAGGCTGTCAGGGCTCAGAGGAAGTGCCAGGATCAGTGCCGCTTTCCAGCTGATCGGTGCTTCTTTGGGGCTGTCAGGGCTCAGTGGAAGCTCCAGGATCAGCGCCAGGCTCTAGCTGGAGCTCGGCGCTGATCCTGGCACTTCTGCTGAGCCCAGAAGAAGCACCAATCAGCTGGAAAGCAGCACTGATCCTGGGGCTTCTGCTGAGCCCAGAAGAAGCGCCGATCAGCTGGAATGTTGCAGCATCTCCAGGGTCTTGTGATTTACATTCAGATGCTTGGCAACTGATTCATATTGATGACGCTCACGGTGTCCCAGGGTCATGTGAAGTGACCAAAACCTGCTGCAACCACCCAGCAGACGGGGGGAATAAAAACCAAACACCCCCTCACCCCACCCCCGCTGCCAATCCTCAACAGAAATTCTCACAACAATGGAAACCTCGGACAGGAGGAAGAGCGCCGCCAGGCGGGCAGGTAGGTGTCTTGCTCGGCTGTGGCTTGGGGGGGCACTTTTTTCAGTGCCGTTGTAACTTCAAACAGTCACTAAGGGAATTGTTGTAAGTCGAGGACTACCTGTACTTTATCACTTTTTTCCTTTTTTTGTGTGTGGTCATCAAGTTTTTGACACTTTGCTAGGCGACTGGTGGTACTCGGATACCGCCATATCCTAAAAGTGGTACAATGGGTGAAAAGGTTGAAAAGCCCTGTTTTAGACAGCCCAATCAACACCACCATATTTCCCCCACCACCTCAAGTTCTACAGCAGCCATCGATCAAATCTGCACAGTGGGGATGCGGCCTTGTGTGTGGATCTGACCCCTGTTTGTATCCATCAAGAAAGAGGGGGAAATAAGCAATCCAGGAAAGGAGAGTGGGGTTCTCCCAGGCTGCAAAATTTAAAAAAAATTAAAGGGGGGGGAAAGGAACAGGGTTGCAAAATTGATCCCCACTTGTGCAATTTCTCCAGGTTTTTTTTCCCCTTCTACTCCCAAGCCAGCCCAGATGGTCTGGTAATTCACCCCTCCCTCCCTCTTTCTTTTTCTCTCTTTCTCTCTCTCACACACACACATTTACACACACAATAATAACGCACAGGTTTCTTGGCCAGCCCCCCCCCTTTTCCCCATCCCCTCCCTTCTGCACGCCTGCCCTAATAGCAATTAATTATACATTAACATGCGCCCTGGAATTCAAAGCTCTTGGTGGGCTGCTAATTAATGGAGCTCCCCAGTTTTTGAGGAGGGGGCACGGAAAGCCCAGCGCAGCCAAAGGGGGGAACGGGGAAGGGGAGGGGGGGAAGGGAAAACAGGCAGAGAGGAAGCCTAGCAACCGGTGTCACCAGCGCCTCGGAATTGCAAAAGCATCATCCCAGAGCAGATGTTCTGTCTGTTTGTCCGTCTGTCGGGGGTCCCCGTCTTGCCAGCTGTCCCTTTTCATTCCTCTGCAATGTTCACTTTTTTTTTTTTTTCCAGTTTCTGGGTTTGGATTTTTGACGAGGCTGAGAATGCGGTCCCTCAAAATCCTCTGGTTTATTCACCCCGGGGGGTTGTGTGGATGGAGGTTTGAAACTGGTCTGGATGTATTTCTCCAAATCGTGGTTTGTTTTTTAGATCTTTTGCCTTCTGGTGCAGGTGGTCCTTGACTTATGACCACAACCGAGCCCAAATCTCCCATTGCTAAGCAAGGCCGTTGTTAAGTGAGTTTTGCCCCATTTTACGGCCTTTTTTTGCCAAAGTTGATGAGCAAATCGCTGCAGGGGTTAAGGGAATCATGCGGTCGTTAAGTGGATCTGGCTTCCGCCATTGACTGCTTGTTGGAAACCAGCTGGGAAGGTGACAAATGGTGATCACGTGACTTGGGGACAGTGCAACCGTCGTAAGTACATGCCAGTTGCCAAGCATCTGAATTTTGACCACGTGACCACGGGGATGCTGCAACTGTCATAATGAGCTATAAGTTATTTTTTTCAGTGTCATTGTAACTTCAAACGGTCACTAAACATATAAGGAACGGCTGCTGGAATTGGGTATGTCTAGTTTAACGAAGAGAAGGACGAGGAGGTGACATGAGAGCAGCATTCCAATATCTCAGGGGCTGCCCCAAAGAAGAGGGAGTCAAGCTATTCTCCAAAGCACTCAAAGGCAGGACAAGAAGCAACGGATGGAAACTAACCAAGGAGAGAAGCAATCTGGAACTAAGGAGAAACTTCCTGACAGTGAGAACAATCAACCAGTGGAACAACCTGCCTCCAGAAGTTGTGGATGCTCCAACACTGGAGGTTTTTAAGAAGAGACTGGACAACCATTTGTCTGAAACGGTATCGGGTTTCCTGCCTGAGCAGGGGGTTGGACTAGAAGACCTCCAAGGTCCCTTCCAACTTTATTATTATTGTTGTTGTTGTTGTTAAATGAATAAATCTAAGTCAAGGACTACCTACATTTTGAATTTTTCATATAAACTCCCTGAATTCTTGGAGCCAAATCAGTCTGTCAGTCAATCAGTGAATCAGTCAATTATGCTTAAGAAGGATTTTAAAATTTATTTTCCTAAAATAGCATATTGGGTGGGGCAGCATTTGCAACCCTGGATGCGCTTGATATAAAGGCAGTCCTCGACTTACAGCAGTTCATTTAGTGACCAAAGTTACAACAGCATTGAAAAAAGTGAGTTATGACCATTTTTCACACTGACAACCATTGCAGCTATCCCCACAGTCACATGATCAAAAGTCAGACGCTTGTGCAAATGACTCATACTTATGACGGTTGCAGAGTCCCGGGTCACGTGATCCCCTTTTGCGACCTTCTGACAAGCAAAGTCAATGGGGAAGCCAGGTTCACTTAAAAACTCTCTTACTAACTTAACAAATGCAGCGATCCACTTAAGAACCGTGCCAAGAAAAGTCATAAAAGGGGGGCAAAAATCACTTGACACAGGTTTCGCTTAGCAACAGAAACTTTGGCCTCAATTGGGGTCGTACGTCGAGGACCACTTGTATAGCAAAAGTAAGGGGAAAAAAATAGGAGTCGTGGTGGCGCAGTGGTTAGAATGCAGTATTGCAGCCTGACTCTGCCCACTGCCAGCAGTTCGATCCTGACCGGCTCAAGGTTGACTCAGCCTTCCATCTGTGGGAGATGAAAATATAGCCCCCTTCTCATACAATAAGATAGGGCTGGAACAAACCTGAAATAGGCCCTCACAGGAGTGGTTTGAAGCTTCAACTTGAACTTTATGCCGTTTCTCCACGAGGACGTACTATTTGTAATCTGCTGAGCTTTGTGCAATCTGAAATTGCAAAGCAGGTAGTTCTGTGTATATTTGGAACATGCGTGTTGTGATCGTGGGAAAAGAGGAACTGAAAGTGGCTGATGGATGCGGGTTCCAATGTACACGGGTATATGTGGAAAGGTATGTTCAGCAGAAGGTCAGCAGGAAGTTAGCAGAAGTCAGCAGACCATCTGACTACAGTTTTAGATCGAGACAGGGTATAAAGCAGGGGTGTCAAACTCAATTTCATTGAGGGCCGCTTGAGCATTGCAGTTGCCCTCGGGAGGGTGCGGGGGGGGGGCGGGGGGGTGCAGCCTACTGGGTGGGCATGGATGGAGTGGGCGTGGCCTACTGGGTGGGCATGGCCAGCTCTACATCGTTCGTGTCAAGGGTGCCTGTGGGGGCCTGGGCAGGAGTGGGACAGATCTGAGGGTCTCTGGCAGAAGGGGGTGGGACCGGGGCAAGCGCCAAGGCATGGTCCATTTCTTCATTCCTCACAAAGGGTGACACTTCCCCAGCAGCACCCAAGGGGCAGGGCCGATGCGGCAGGGGCTGGTTCCTCGCTTTTTCTGGACGGCCTTGTGGAGCTAAGACTGAATGCGTTTCTGCATATATATGGCCACCACAAAATTGTACATTGGCTCCCGGCTGGCCTGGGCCAGGGCCAAGGCAGCGGGGGCCGTTCCCTCACTCTTTCCAGGATGACTTCGCGGGCCACATGAAACCACTTCGCAGGCCTCATCTGGCCCCCGGGCCTTGTGCTTGACATGTCTGGTATAAAGGGTTGGGACTGGACCTGAATGATTTGCCACTGGCCTATAGCTGTCCTTTGGAATCTGCTATGCCATATGGTCCTCATTGCAATGGGTTATTAATGTAAGTGACGTTGTGTTCTTACGCGTGCTATGTTCCAAAGTATTAGAAAAATAAACCTCTGAATCTTAACGTAAGAATTATTGTTTTGTGTTGCTGTCTTATCTTTTCCATTGGGTTTTTCCACGACACATCCTTCCAAGGTCGGTAAAATGAGGATCCAGATTGTTGAGGCTGACTCTATAAACCGCTTAGGGAGGAGCTATAAAGCACTGTGAAGCGGTATATAAGTCTGTGGTTCTCAACCTTTTTAATGCCGCGACCCCCCCAACCGGTCGTAAGTCGAGGATTACTCAACCGGTCGGTCCTCGACCACTCAACTGGTGCAGCACCGTTTGCAGAATGGGACTTTTGGCGGGCTCAGCAGGGCAGAGACAGCCTGGACAATTCCTATTGGCTTTTGAAAGCCAATAGACTTAGACTCTATTCAAGAGAGTCTATTCTATTGGCTTTCAAAAGCCAATAGAATAAAAGGGAGTAGCACAGCTAAGGAAAAGGGGGGAAAATGGCGGACTGCGTTGTTTGGCGACCCCCGTGAAATGGTCGTTCGACCCCAAATGGGGTCGCAACCCACAGGTTGAGAACCACTGGTCTAAGTGCTATTGCTAAAGGGTAAATCAGCTATCCATTCAAGGAGGAGGAGGAGTCGTGTAGACCAGGGGTCCCCAACCCCCGGTCCGTGGACCAGTACCAGGCCGCAGCATGCCAGCAATCGGTCCCCACAAACAAAGCCCCATCTGTGGGATGCAGGCAGCACACAAAACCACGTAGTCTCCGGTCCGTGGAAAACCTTTTTCCATGGAACCAGTCCCTGGTGCCCAAAAGGTTGGGGACCTCTGGTGTAGACACAGCCAATGAGTTGTAACCACTTTTCTACTTACCAAATTTGGGTCCTTGCCTTTGACAGGTGTGGTGCTGCGACTGGATGCCAGCGAGGCTGGACTGTTCGTAAAGCCCCTTTGGCTTGGCAGGAGTTGGGCAGCTGAGCTGCATAGCGGGCTCCCGTGCTCAGAAAGAGGGTCCTGGAAGGGGAAAAAAAAAAGATTTCATACCTTTAATTTTGTCGAGATATTGGGCATAATAGGGAAACACTGCAAAAAATAGAAGTAGAGCTTTAAAAACAAAAGATTGGATTGAGCCGCTGCAGAAAGACAAGCCGACAAAGGCACCGAACCTCATACAGATAGTCCTCGGCTTACATCCATTTGTTTAGTGACCATTTGAAGTTAAAACGGCACCGAAAAAAGTGAAGACCGTTTTTCACACTTATGACCGTTTGCAGCATCACGTGATCAAAATGCAGCTGCTTAGCAACTGACTCAGATTTATGACGGCTGCAGACAAGCAAAATCGATGAGGAAGCCAGACAACCAGGAAGCTGTTATTACAGCAATACTCACTTAATGACTGTCTTGCTTAGCAATGGAAATTTTAGGCTCAGTTGTGGTTGTAAGTTGAGGATACTTATAGTATTTTTTTTTTAATCGTGTCCTATTCTCAGATACTGCCTGGACAGTTTCCCTGGCAAAGGTTTTCAGAAGCTGTTTGCCATTTTCTCTTTCTTGGGGCTAAGAGAACAGGACTGGCTCAAGATCAACCCAGGGCAGGACTAGAACTCACGGTCTCCCAGTTTATAGACTTGTGCCTTCACCTCTATGTGAATTGGTTATTGGTCTAATACTAAGATGCACTAAAACCATCTAGGTCAGGGATAGGCAATCTTGGCTCTTTCATGACTCGTGGACTTCAACTCCCAGAATTCCTGAGCCAGCATGGCTCAGCTTGGAAACCTCTCCCTTTTCCCTCAGCATGGCTAGCTCAGGAATTCTGGGAGTTGAAGTCCACGAGTCATAAAAGAACCAAGGTTGCCTATCCCTGGTCAACTTCTCTCTCACCATGCACATGTATACATAATCCGCACTAGACTGTATAGTCTTTCTGTGTCATATATGCATAATTCTGTACTTATTTATTTTTGTCATATTTACATAGTGTCTCCTGGAGGTGGTGGCCCTTTGAGAGCTGTCTGCAACGAAATTTCTTTTTAATGTATGCCAATCAGTGTACGTTCAAAGTGACAATAAAGTATTTATTCTATTCTTCTTTGGCAGCTTTAAGATGGGTGGACTTCAATTCCCAGAATTCCCCAGCCACCGGTGGGAAATGCACAATATCCATTCCCAAAATGGTAACAAGGATCGAATTTAGCCCTTTTCTTCTTGTTTTTCAAAGGAATTCTCAGTTGAACTCAAGTTGCCTGCAATATTAGTTGAGGCTGCAATTTTAGGTTAACGACTGGAGGCTAACAAACATACGGAGAACGGTTGCAGGAATTGGGGATGTCTAGTTTAATGAAAAGGAGGACTAGGGGTGACAGGATAGCAGTCTTCCAATATCTCAGGGGCTGCCCCAAAGAAGAGGGAGTCAAGCTATTTTCCAAGGTGCCTGAAGGCAGGACAAGAAGCAACGGATGGAGACTAATCAAGGAGAGAAGCAAGGAACTAAGGAGAAATTTCCTGAGTTAGAACAATTAGCCAGTGGAACAACCTGCCTCCAGAAGCGGTGGAAACACTGGAAGTTTTTAAGAAGAGACTGGACAGCCATTTGTCCGAAATGGTATAGGGTTTCCTGCCTGAGGAGGGGGTTGGACTAGATGACCTCCAAGGTCCCTTCCAACTCTATTATTCTTTTAAATAATTTTGAATGCCTCAAATAAGGTTGGGGAGGGAGGGAGAGGCTGACCCTCCAATCCACCTGCCCCAAATAAATGAAATTCACTTTGGACCATCTTAATGGTTATAAATGCAGCCCAGTGGCTGAAATGCAGTCATGTGAATGGAGGGGGGGAGCTGACCATGGAAATTCGCAGCTGGGTCATAAGTCTCCCCAGGGAGGTCCTGCAGAGGTTGAGACTCTGGAAAGAGTGCAGAGAAGAGCAACAAAGATGATTAAGGGGCCTGGAGGATAAAACATATGAAGAACAGTTGCAGGAATTGGGTTATGTCCAGTTTAATGAAGAGAAGGACTACTAGGTCCTGACATGATAGCAGTCTTCCAATATTCTCAGGGGCTGCCCCCAAAGAAGAGGGAGCCAAGCCCTGCAAGTTCTGGAAGTTGAATGGGAACATCTGGAGGGTCTATCAGACAATGGGAGGTTGATTTAACTTCTGGGGAATGTGCGAAAGGCCTGTGCAGAGTTTTCTGCTTTGTCTTTCTTCCTTTCCGTCAGTGTAAACAGAAAAAAAAAGGGAACTCGACCATGTGCAGCCTCTGCCTGTGCCAAGGAAAATAAAAGCCAAGAATGCTTTGAAGTGGTGGGAGGGGGAAAAAAAACAACCCACATTTAAGCAGAGCAATTTTGTGAAACAGGCGGGGCAGAAGAAGCCTCTTAGCTGTGCCCAAACAAGAGCAGCCTGAGAGAGGGTGAAATGGTGGGTTTTCAAGGTGCCCTGTAGGAAGATTTATCTGCATTTTCTCCCCGTGGTTTCTCATTCAATTTGATGAGGGAGGGAGGGAGGAAACAGGAAAGTAGGAGGTGGAGGAAGGAAGGGAGGGGAGAGAGAGGGAAAGAAAGAGAAAGAGGGAGGGAGGGAGGGAGGAAACAGGAAAGTAGGTGTAGGAAGAAAGGGAGAGAGAGAAAGGGAAAGAAAGAGAAAGAGGGAGGGAGGAAGGAAGGAAGGGAGCAAGGAAACAGGAAAGTAGGAGGTGTAGGAAGGAAGGGGGAGAGGGAAAGAAAGAGAGAAAGAGATAGGGAGGGAGGGAGAGAGGAAGGAAGGGAGGGAGGAAACAGGAAAGTAGGAGGTAGAGGAAGGAAGGGAGGGGAGAGAGAGGGAAAGAAAGAGAAGGAGGGAGGGAGGAAGGAAGGGAGCAAGGAAACAGGAAAGTAGGAGGTGTAGGAAGGAAGGGAGGGGAGGGAAAGAAAGAGAAAGAGACAGGGAGGGAGAGAGAGAGAGAAAGAAAGGGAGGGAGGAAACAGGAAAGTAGGAGGTGGAGGAAGGAAGGGAGGGGAGAGATAAAGAAAGAGGGAGGGAGGGAGGGAGGGAGGGAGGGAGCAAGGAAACAGGAAGAGGGGAGAGAGAGGGAGAGAAAGAGGGAGGAAGGGAGTGGGGAAACAGGAAAGTAGGAGGTGGGGGAAGGAAGGGAGGGGAGAGAGAGGGAAAGAAAGAGAGAGAGACAGAGGGAGGAAAGAAAGAAAAGGGGAAAGGGATGGAGGGAAGAAGGGGAAAGGGGTAAGGGGAAGAAAAGAATGAAAAAAAGCAAAAGGGAGGGAGGAGGCAGAGAGCCAGGAGGTTGTGATGTGTGGTGCTGAGACCTCTTGGGCAGAGATGTGGGCAAGGGGTGGGGTGTGAATACACCTTCTTTCCTGGCACACTTTCTCTCGTGCTCTCTCCAGCCCCCACGCTTTCATTCAGCCCTATGGAAAGGGAAGGAAGGAAGGAAGGAAGGAAGGAAGGAAGGAAGGAAGGAAGGAAGGAAGGAAGGAAGGAAGGAAAAGAGAGGGAGGAGGGAAGGAAGGAGAAGGAGGGAGGGAGGGAGGGGAATAAAAAGGGAAAGGAAGGAAGGAAGGAAAAGAAAGAGAAAGGGGAAGAAAGGAAAGAAAGAAAGGAAGGAAGGAAGAAAGAAAGAAAGAAAGAAAGAAAGAGCAAAAGGGAGGGGGAAAGGGCGAGGAAGGTGCGATGTAGGGTGCTGATAGTCTTGGGCAGAGATGTGGGCAAGGGACTTACAAACTGTTGTTAAGTCAAGGACTACCTGTACTTTAACCCACCACTTCACCTCCCTAATTGCGGCAGAAAGTACTTAATTCCCATTTCTTGAAAATGGTCCTTTTCTCTCGGCCCGTTTCTCCCCCCCCCCCCCGTTTTCCCGGGGATTAAAACGCGTCCCGCGAACCCACAGGCCTCCATCCGCAAGCAACACATTTTATCTTCCAACCCGGCATTTGAGAAAACCTCCGAAAACAGATCTCTGGTGTCTCGCAGGCTCTCACGCCTCACTCCCTCTTCCCAGCCAACCCCAGATTGCCGCTTTAATGCCTATATTAAGGTTTCTTTTCTCGGTTTTAATCATTCCAGATTCTCTCGGGACCGACAAGGAGAAAATGTTTTCGACACATTTCTGCAGAATGCAAAAAGCGACGTTATTTTCCTTTCCTTTTGCAGAAATCCCAAAGAAATCCAACGTACTACGCTGGTTTCTCGCCTTTTCTTCGGAGGAAAAAAAGGGTTGTGGTCGCCAATGGTCAATCGCTAGCTAGGTGCATTTAACCAGGTTTAAAAAAGAGCTGCTAGTGGCTCTATCCATTGGTTGGTTTTAACTCTGGTTAGTTCTAGCTTTTTGGTGGCTTAGCTGGATTTGTTATAATCCAGATCTTTGGGCTGATTCATGAATTGTGCACCGCCAGGAAAAGAGATTAACTCAATGTCTTCTACTGAATCATGGATTAGAAGGAGCCTCAGAGGTCATCTAGTCCCACCCTCCTTGCTCAATGCAACATTTAATCAATCAATCAGACTAGAGCTGGAAGTGATTGTCCAGCCTCTTCTTAAAAAACTCCAGTGATGAAGCACCCACCACTTCCGAAGGCAAGCCGTTCCACTGATTCATTATTCTCAATTAACCAGTGGAATTAAACTTAATTAAGATAATTAATTAACCATCTACAACTGTTAATTGTAGATCCCACTTCAGGTAGTCCACAATTTACGACAGTGGGGACCAGAATTTGCATTGCTAACCAAGTTATTTCTTAAGGGAGTTATGCCCAATTTCGTAATCTTTTTGCCACCGTTGTTAGGTGAATCACTGCAGCGGTTAAATGAAACATGCGGTCGTAAAGCAAATCGGGCATCCCTCCATTGACTTTGCTGGTCGGAAGCTGGGTGGGAAGGTGGAAAACAGCGATCACGTGACCCCCCGGGATGAAAATACATGCCGGTTGACAAGCACCCATGTGAAAGCGGGGAATGTGGCAACGGTCATAAGTGCAAGGACTGGCCGTAAGTCACTGTATTCAGAGCTGTTGCAACTTCAAACGATCGCTAAAGGAATGGTTGTAGGGAGAATTTTCAAACAGAATAACAGAGGTCATCTAGTCCAGCCTCCTGCTCTGGCAGGAGACCCTATGCCATTTCAGACAAGTGGCTGACCAGTCTCTTCTTAAAAACCTCTAGTGATGGAGCCCCCACCACTTCTGGTGGCAAGCTGTTCCACTGGTTTATTATTCTCACTGTCAAGAAGTTTCTCCTTAGTTCCGGGTTGCTTCTTTCTTGATTAGTTTCCATCCATTGCTTCTTGTCCTGCCTTTTAGTGGTTTGGAGAATAGCTTGACCCCCTCTTCTTTGTATTAGCCCAGTGGTGGCGAACCTATGGCACGGCTGCCAGAGGTGGCACTCAGAGCCCTCTCTGTGGGCACGTGCGCAGGCCTTCAGCTGGGTTTTATAAAAACCTTTTCGCTTTAGGCCTCCGCTGCCGTGTGCCAAAAAAAAAAAAAAAGGTTCAATCAGTCAATTTCAACTTCTTGCGGGGAAAAAAAGATCTTGCAAAGTTGGAATTGATTGAACTTTTTAGTCCCACCCAGTCTGCTGTTACCACCGCAGCCACACCCACCCAATGCGCCACACTCAATTGGCCACATCCACCCAATGGGCCACACTCACCCGGCACCCGACGATGCATAAGTGGGTTTTGGGTTGCAGTTTGGGCACTAGGTCTCTAAAAAGGTTTGCCATCACTGTATTAGCCTTTCAAATATTGGAACACTTGCTATCATGTCACCTTCTCTTCATTAAACTAGACATATCCAATTCCTGCAACCGTTCTTCGTATATTCTAGCCTGCAGTCCCCTAATCATCTTTGTTGCTCTTCTCTGCACTCTTTCCAGAGTCGCCACATCTTTTTATATATGATGATCAAAACTGGATGCAGTATTCCAAGTGTGGCCTTACCAAGGCATTGTAAAGTGGTATTAATACTTTACATGATCTTGATTCTATCCCTCTGTTAATGCAGCCCAGCACTGTGTTGGCTTTTTTGGCAGTTGCAGCACATGACTGGCTCCTATTTAAGTGATTGTCTACTAGGACTCCGAGATCCCTCTCACAATTACTGCTATTGACCAAGGTACCCCCTATACTATACCTGTGCATTTGGTTTTTCTTGCCTAAGTGTAGAACCTTACTTTTCTCTACACTGAATTTCGTTTTATTCGGTAGCAAAACGTTTCACGTTCATTTTGTAATGTGTTCAGTCCGCCTTTGGGTTTAGGAGAGATTTTATCCTAGCTGGGCAGATTCCAGAGGTTGCAAGTGGGTATTTGTGGGGCACCAGTTGGCCCAAGGGAAGAAAAATTGAGATACAAATTCTCAATCGTGTTTCACGTTTTCTACGGAGGCAGGGAGGATGCAAACGCTTCACGTTCCCGCGGATCAAGATGCACCGAGGGAGCAATCGCCCACCCAGGTCAAAAAGCCACGGCTTTCATCTCGCCCAGAAGTCAGAACAAAGCGGAAACGCGGCTGGCCTGACCCCCAGGATGAGCCCGAAGTATAATTAAGACTTTAAAAAAGGGAAAAGTGCATGCAAAGCTGCGTGGAGAAATAAAGCGATGGATGTTGAAACCGCCCGGAATCCAGCAGCTTTGAAGCTCCTGAATAATTTAGTGTGAAAACCTCACGAGGGCTGCTCTTGCCTGCAGCAGGAGGCAAGAGCACCCCCACTTACCTCGTCCACAATCAGGTTGCAGTCGCTCTTCTCCCCATCGCTTTCCTGCAAGGCAGCCAGGAAAAAGAAATGGGGAAGGAAGGAAGGAAGGGGTGAAGGAGGGGGAGCGAGGGAGGGACGGATGAAGGAAGGAAGAAAGGAAGGAAGGGGAGGAAGAAAAGAGAAAGGAAGGAAGGGAGTGAGGAAGGAAGGGAGGGAGGGAAGGAAGGAAGGAAGGAAGAAGGGAAGCAGGAGAGGGGGGAGAAGAAGGAAGGAAGGAAGGAAGGAAGGAAGGAAGGAAGGAAGGAAGGAAGGAAGGAAGGAAGGGGGAAAGGAGGGGGGAGCGAGAGAGGGAGGGATGAAGGAAGGAAGAAAGGAAGGAAGGGGGAGAGGAAGGGGAGGAAGAAAAGAGAAAGGAAGGAAGGGAGTGAGGAAGGAAGGGAGGGAGGGAAGGAAGGAAAAAGGGAGGAAGGGAGAAAAATGGAGGAGGGAGGGAAAGAAGGAAGGGAGAAAAACAGGAAGGAAGGAAAGAAGGAAGGGGGGAGGGAGGAAATTGGAGAAAGAATGGAAGGAAGGAAAGAAAAGGGAGGGAGGAAAACAGAGGAGGGAGGAAAAGCAGGAAGGAACGAGAAAGAAGGGAGGGAGGGAAGGAAGAAAGGAAGGAAGGAGAAAGGGGAGGGAAGGAAAGAAGGAGAAAGAAGGGGAGGAGGAAGGGAAGGAAAGAAGGGAGGAAAAGGGAGGGAGAAAAACAGGAATGGAAGGAAGGAAAGAAAAGGGAGGGAGGAAAAGAAGGAAGGAGGAGGGAGGAAAAGAAAGAAGGAAGGAGAAAGAAGGGAGGGAGGGAAGAAAGGAAGGAAGGAAGGAGAAAGGGGAGGGAAGGAAGGAAGGAAGAAGAAGGGGAGGAGGAAGTGAAGGAAAGAAGAGAGGAAAAGGGAGGGAGAAAAACAGGAAGGAAGGAAGGAAGGAGAAAGGAGGGAGGAAAGAAGAGAAGGAAAGAAGGAAGGAAAGTCATCACTTTTGCACCATCCTTGACAGAAAGATGGACAGGAAACCTTCCCAGCTCCTTAATGGAGCCCCCTGGGTATAAATCAGTGGGGAACCCCCTGGCTCAATGTGGCCCTACTCTCTATTTTTCCAGCACAAAAAACTGCATCTCCTGGGTGGGAGGGAAAGTAAACTATCTATGGGGTTGCTAAGAGGCGGCCCCAACTTGATGGTATCTAACCAATTAATCAAGCTGTTGGAAGTCAGTAGCAAATCCCTAAGACCTCCACGCCCCCCCCCCCAGGTCTATTTCAAAGCAAATTAACCCTCTAATCTGATTGAAGTGAACTTGGCTCCAACTAATGAGCCTGGCTGCCCAGTGGACCTTCGGTCGTCCCTGGTTCTTAATCCTAGCTTCCAATTCAGGGCTTCTTTCATTACCCAAAACTGCTCATCAGAAAGGCTGATCCAACTTCTGACGTTGTGATTCCTTTCCTTCCGCAGCCTTGTGACAGTTCCTGAGTGACCACAATGGAAGGTCTTCCTATATTGCAGGTAGTCCTCGGCTTACGACCGCAACCGGAAAATGTGATCATGTGGCAAGGGGGCCCTGCAGCAGTCATAACTCTGAGGGCGGTTTATACATCCTCGACCTGCAGCAGTTTGTTTAGTTAGAACGGCACTGAAAAAAAAGTAACGTACGGCCGTTTTTCACACTTAACGACCGTTGCAACACCCCCATGGTCACATGATCAAAATTCAGACAATTGACCACTGACTCGTATTTATGACGGCTGCAGGGTCCCAGGGTCAGGTGATCCCCTTTTGTGACCTTCTGACAAGCAAAGTCAAGGAAGAAGCCGGAATTACATAACAACCGTGTTATTTTCCTGCCTGAGTAGGGGGTTGGACTAGATGACCTCCAAGGTCCTTTCCATCATCATCATTATTATTAACTTAAGAAGTGCAATGGTTCACTTAGCAACTATGGCAAGAAAGGTCGCAAAATGGAGCAAGACTCATTTAAAACACTGGAAGTTTTTAAGAAGAGACTGGACAGCCATTTGTCCGAAATGGTGTAGGGTTTCCTGCCTGAGCAGGGGGTTGGACTAGATGACCTCCAAGGTCCCTTCCAACTTTACTACTATTACTAAAACATGCTTTGCTTAGCAACAGAAATTTTGGGCTTCACTGTGGTCGTAACGTGAGGACTACCTACAGCTTTTTTTAAAAAAAATCCATGGTAGCTTTGAACTGCTATTAAGCAACCAATCGTGAGTCGACAACTACCTATAATTTAAATGTCCCGGTCGTGATAGGTAATAACTTTGTGTCTCAAAGAAAAGCACTTTTAACCCAACATTGTACAATTTAACCAAGTTTGGGAAGCACTGCTCGAACTGCTGCACCACACTATTTAGGGGGCTGCTCAAGCCAGACACCCGCCTTTTGTCAAGACAAAATTTCCCTCAGTGTTAAAAAGAGACACTCACATAACGCCCCACCTCTTCCTTGTCCGACAGCTTGGCCTTCCCCCTGCTTTCTTCCTCTCGTTCTTCATCTTGCAGGCTCTCCGGAGGAGACGCAGAATCGCTCTGCGAAGGAGGCAAATGACTGAATGGAAACAAGCCTTGGGCAAACAGAGGTCCATCTCTGGTTCTTTGAGTCAGGGGTCTCCCACAGGGGTCTTCCAACTTGGCCCTTTTATGACTTGTGGACTTCAACTCCCAGAATTCCTCAGCCAGCGTGCCTGGCTGAGGAATTCTGGGAGTTGAAGTCCACAAGTCATAAAAGGGCCAAGTTGGAAGACCCCTGGTCTCCAACCTTGGCCACTTTTAAGACTTGTGGACTTCAACTCCCAGAATTCTCCTCAGCATGGCGGGCTGAGGAATTCTAGGAGTCGAAGTCCACAAGTCTTAAAGTTGAAGACCTGCTCCAAAACATAGGACGGTGGCTATATTTAATGAGAAAATTACTCTCCTCCAGCCCAGTGTGCTGGCTGAGGAATTCTGGGAGTTGAAGTCCACAAGTCATAAAAGGGCCAAGTTTGAAGACCCCTGAAGTAGGGCAAATTTTTTCAACCTTGGCCACTTTAAGACGGGTGGACTTCAACTCCCTATGCTGGCTGGGGAATTCTGGGAGTTGAAGTCCACCCATTTCAAAGTGCCCAAGATTGAGAAATACGGTTCTATTAGGTACTTCAATCCAAAGCCCTCTCCAGCTGGTTGAATTACAACCAAAGGGTCTTCAAGGCGTTCAGCCATTATTGGCATGGGCTGGGAATCCTGGGATCCGTAGTCTATCTTCACCAGCCTACAGCCTGTGATCACCCCTCCCACCTCAGACAGGCCAACTACATCTATTATAAAAGAGTTTTGTTTTTTTTAATTTTCTGTTTCAATGTGAAAGCCATTCAGAAACATTCAGGAGACAGGAAACAGGAATTATCAACCAACGAGAAGAATATAAAGTTAAAGCAGAACGATACAAAACCTCATGTAAAACAAAATTGTAGGCCAGGGGTCTTCAAACTTGGCCCTTTTATGACTTGTGGACTTCAACTCCCAGAATTCCTCAGCCAGTGTGCCTAGCTGAGGAATTCTGTGAGTTGAAGTCCACAAGTCATAAAAGAGCCAAGTTTGAAGACCCCTGTTGTAGGCCATCAAGAGTTGTCCTGTGGGAAGATGGATGGCCAATAAATGTAATAAATAAATAATTAAACCTGTTTTTTTTCCCTGAAGTTGTGAGTTTGCAGTATCTGTGTGTTTGTGTATGTGCATGCTTTGCACAACCAGCCACCCAAAACTTGGTTCCATTTTCTAAGCAGATGAGAAGAAAAAACCAGGGACCGATTATGTATCTGAGGTTCCCCTATATTATTATTAATATTATTATTCATCAGATTTTTATCCCACCATTATTACTTTATATGTAATTCAAGGCAACAATCATACCTAACATTCCTTCCTCCTCTCCTTTGTCCCACAACAACAACCTTGTGAGGTGGGTTTGGCGGAGAGAGCATGAGTAGCCCAAAGTCACCCAGTCGGGTTGTATACCTAACGTGGGACTAGAACTCACCGTCTCCTGGTGATTGGCCCAAAGTCACTCAGCTCTCTTTCATGCCTAAGGCGGGACTAGAACTCACTGTCTCCTGGTGATTGGCCCAAAGTCACCCAACTCTCTTTCATGGCTAAGGCAGGACTAGAACTCACAGTCTCCTGGTGATTGGCCCAAAGTCACCCAGCTCTCTTTCATGCCTAAGGTGGGACTAGAACTCACCGTCTCCTGGTGATTGGCCCAAAGGAACCCAGCTGTCTTTCATGCTTAAGGCGGGACTAGAACTCACCGTCTCCTGGTGATTGGCCCAAAGTCACCCAGCTCTCTTTCATGCCTAAGGCGGGACTAGAACTCACCGTCTCCTGGTGATTGTCCCAAAGTCACCCAGCTCTCTTTCATGCCTAAGGCGGGACTAGAACTCACCGTCTCCTGGTGATTGGCCCAAAGTCACCCAGCTCTCTTTCATGCCTAAGGCGGGACTAGAACTCACCGTCTCCTGGTGATTGGCCCAAAGTCACCCAGCTATCTTTCATGCCTAAGGCGGGACTAGAACTCACCGTCTCCTGGTGATTGGTCCAAAGTTACCCAGCTCTCTTTCATGCCTAAGGTGGGACTAGAACTCACAAACTTGGTGATTGGCCTTAAGTCACTCAGTCGACTTTCCTGCATAAACTTGAACTAGAATTCACCATCTCCTGGTGAATTGTCCCAAAGTCTCCCAGCTGGTTTTCATGCCTAAGACAGAACTAGAACTCACTGTCTCCTAAGTGACTGGCCCAATGTTCCCCAGATGGGCTTCATACCTAAGGCAGAACTAGAACTCATGGTCTCCCATTTTTTAGCCTTCACCACTAGACTAAGCTGGCTCTTGCACACATTGTGACCCGAGGATCAGCACTTTTGGGCTGCCCCAAAGGCCCCCCCCCCCCGTTTTCCCCAAGCATAGACACAATTTGTTAGGCTTACCTGGCTTTGTGAGTTCCCTGGGACGCAATCCGTTATTTCGGGGAAGCAAAAAGATGGAGGAAAAACATGGAATTAGGCCTTTGCAATGCTAAGATCCCAGATCAGATTGTGCGTGCCCACACAGGTTTGGCACTTGTGTGGCACATGCAGAGTAAAAATGTGCCCAGAGTTGGCTTGAAATGCAACAGCATAGAATTGCTAGGGAAAAATATATAAAATAAAAATAGAATAGAGTATTATTTTAATATTATTATTAAAACAGAATTTTAAAAAATAGTGTATTTTATGAAAAGATTATGTTCCCACCGTCCAATGCTTACTGAGTACAGGTAGTCCTCAACTTATGACCATAATTGAGCCCAAAGGTTCTGCTGATAAGTGAAACGTTCGTTAAGTGAGTTTTGCCCCATTTTACGACCTTTCCTGCCATGGTTGTTAAGTGAATCACTGCAGCTGTTAAGTGAGTAACGGTTGTTAAGCGAATTTGGCTTCCTCATTAACTTTGCTTGTCAGAAGGTCGCAAAAGGGGATCACGTGATCCCCGGGGATGCTGCCACCGTCATAAGTAAGAGTCAGTTTGCCAAGCGTCCGGATTTTGATCACGTGACCACGGGGGATGCTGAAAAGGTCGTAAATGTGACAAATGGTGACCAGTCGCTTTTTTCAGTGCCATTGTAACTTTGAACAGTCGCTAAATGAACTGTTGTAAGTCAAGGACCACCTATATTAGCTTTCTGCCTGCCAGGAGAGGGGGAAAGGGAAGGAAAATTGGGAGACGCGGCATATTGGGAGTGTGAGACCCACTTTTTTTAAAAAAAAGAGCATTTTCCACCTGGCATCCGAAGCGATCCTTTTTCCCAGCTCTTTGTAAAACGGTCCCTGTCTGGTCACCTAGGATCTCATCCTCACTGTAGGCCAGGGGTAGGCAACCTTGGCTCTTTTATGACCCATGGACTTCAACTCCCAGAATTCCTGAGCCAGCCATGCTGAGGGAAAGGGAGAGTTTCTAAGCTGAGCCATGCTGGCTCAGGAATTCTGGGAGTTGAAGTCCTCAAGTCATGAAGAGTCCAAGGTTGATTAGCTCTGACCCTTACCATCTCAGACAAGTGACTGTCTAGCCCAGGGGTAGGCAACCTTGGCTCTTTTATGACTCGTGGACTTCCAGAATTCCTGAGCCAGCCATGCTGAGGGGAAAGGGAGAGGTTTCCAAGCTGAGCCCTGCTGGCTCAGGAATTCTGGGAGTTGAAGTCCACGAGGCATAAAAGAGCCAAGGTTGCCTACCCCTATCCTAGGACGAAGATTAAGAGCAGGGGTCTTAAAACTTGGCTCTTTTATGACTGGTGGACTTCAACTCCCAGAATTCCTGAGCCAGCCATGCTGAGGGGACAGGGAGAGGTTTCCAAGCTGAGCCATGCTGGCTCAGGAATTCTGGGAGTTGGTCCACGAGTCATAAAAGAGCCAAGGTTGCCTACCCCTGCTGTAGGCGATCAGACCATCATTAAACCAAAATTATGGATCGCTGCTGCGAGGGGAAGGCGCCTCGCCATCAAACATCACTCGTTGGGCTCCTTCCCAGCTTTGGCACGGAGGTTGAAAGAGACAGGGAGGAAAGCTTTTAGATCCCTCCAGAATTAAAGAGGGACGTCAGCCAGAAAGAGCCGGGCTGGAGGGTGCTGGATGACGTCCCAGAATGCAACTGGGCCAAGAAAGCTTTTGCAAAGAGGCTTGCCAAGCAAGGCTGGCTTTGATGGGGCCTGCAGGCCGAGGCAATTCCCAACTGGAGGGGATGGGGGTGGGGGAAATACGGTCTCTTACACACACACACACACACACACACACACACACACACACACACACACACGCCACAAGGCCTGGGTCTGACTCTCAACGCACCACCCCACCGCAGGTTGTGGAGGGAAAGCTGGGCTGGCTCCAGACACACACACACACACACACACACACACACACACACACACACACAATCTCTCTTTCTCTCTCTCTCCTGGGCCTTTTGCCCAAGAGGTCTCTTGCTAGACAAACACAAATCGGCAGGCAAAAACTACGCAACAAGCAGCGGGCAGAGATTTTGGCCAGTAAGATAGAGAGCTCTCTGTGAGGAGTGCAAAGTCTCTGAACTTAACACAAAGAGAGAGGGAGGGAGGGAGGGAGGGAGGGAAGGAGGGAGGAAGGAAAGAAGGACAGAAGGACAGAAGGAAGCAATGGATGGATGGATGGATGGGAGGGAGGAAGATGGATGAATAGGAAGAAAGGAAAGAAGGACAGAAGGAAGGAGTGGGTGGATGGATAGATGGATGGAAAGAGGGGAGGGAAGGGAGGAAGGAAAAATAGAAAGGGAAGAAGAAGGGAGTGAAGGGAGAGGGGAAAGGAAGGGGAGGGAGGGGAAAGAAGGGAGGGAGGGGAAGGGGAAGAAAGGAAGAGGAAGGAAGAAAAAATGGAGAGAACGGAAGGGGGGAGGGAAGGGAAGAAGAAGAGAGGAAAGGAAAGGGAGGGAGAGAGGGAGGGAGATGGATGAACAGAAGGAAGAAAGGAAAGGACGGAGGGAGGGAGAGAAGGAAGGAATCGATCAAAGGGAGGGAAGGAGGAAGAAAGGAATGGAAGGAAGAAAGGAAGGAGAGATGGGAGAGACAGGAAAGGAGGAGAGGTAGAAGCGGAAGGAAGCAAGGAAGGAAGGGACAAAGTAGAGAATAGAAGAAGGGTAGGAGAAGAGAAGGGAAGGGAAGGAAAGGGAAGAGGAGAAGAGAAGAGAAGAGAAGAGAAGAGAAGAGAAGAGAAGAGAAGAGAAGAGAAGAGAAGAGAGCAGGTAGGAGAGGAACGAAGGAAGGAAATTAGTTTCCCATTCCACTAAAAGCGCAGAATTCACATTTTGACCTCCAGACCTAAATATTAAAAACAGAGACAGGATATCCCAGGATCGTGTCATCCCTATTTGCAACCTTCCCAACCAGCTTCCCCACAAGCAAAGTCAAAGGAGGAAGCCGGATTCGCTTAATGACTACTTGATTCATTTAACAAATGCAATGATTCGTTAACACCCAGCCCCCCCCCCCAAAAAAAAGATCATAAAATCAGGTCCGAGTCATTTAACAACCGCCTTGCTTAGCAACGGAAATTCTGTTCCCGATTGAGGTCGTAAGTTGAGAACAAACCTGCAGCCTGATTTATACCGTGCATTTCAATTAGCGATAGGTTCCTACCGACCAAGCTACACCATTTCCAATAATTATTATTTATTACACTGAAATGTCCCCCCGACTTCCAGGAACTCTAGCAGGTCTTAAGCCAGCATAGTGTCATGTGTGAATGTTGCCGCAAGCAGAGATGGTGGGGAGGGGGGAGCGCAGGAGGCATGCAAATGAAGTGGATGGGTTACATTAAACCACACCCTAGGGCGGGGCTATGCAAATATCCCCACCACCCATGGGAAAAGCGCTGCTCTCTTTTTAAGCACCCGCCCCCTTCAGATGGACAGCTTGCAACGCCAACCAGAGAGATAGAGAGATTCCTCAGGCCACCCATCAATCCCCCCCCCCTTTTCCCCTCTTACCTGGATTGTTTTCGGAGTCCTGCCCGGCATTTTCTTGTTTTGCCCCAAGGATGGCCTGAGCCCCCAAGGTCCCCGAGAGGGCCAGCAGCCCAGAGGCCGTGCTGACCGCAGCCAAGCTAGAAGCCTGAGACCCCAAAAGGTGTGGGGTCAAGGGAACCGCAGGGGCCTGATGGGAGAGATGTTGTAACTGCTGCTGCTGGAAAAGAAAAAAGAAAAAAAGGAACCCCTAGGACAAGGGTCTGCAACCCTGACAACCTTAAGACTTGTGGACTTCAGCTCCCAGAATTCCTCAGCCAGCTATGCTATCACAAAGTGCCAGGGAGGGAAGGAAGAAGGAAGGGAGAGGAAGGGGAGGAAGAAAAGAAAGAGGGAGGGAGGGAAGGAAGGAAGGTAGGAAGAAGGAAGGGAGGGAGGGAGGGAGGGAGAGAGAGAGAGAAGGAAGGAAGGAAGGAAGGAAGGAAGGAAGGAAGGAAGGAAGGAAGGAAGGAAGGAAGGAAGGAAGGAAGGAAGGAAGGAAGGAAGGAAGGAAGAAGGCAGGGAGGGAGGGAGGGAGGGAGGGAGGGAGGGAGGGAGGGAGGGAGAGAAGGAATTCTGGAAGCTGAAGTCCACAAGCCTTAAAGTTGTCACGGTTGCCGACCCCTGCCCTAGGAGAATCCGGGCAGGGTTTGATCTTCTGCTTCCAGGGCAGCAGGTTACAGTTCCCAACCCCTGGGAGCTCCAGAAGGCTGTTCCATCAGAGGCATCAGGCTGGACACATCCTTCCAGAGGAAGAGGAGGAGGAGGAGGAGGAGGAGGAGGAGGAGGAGGAGGAGGAGGAGGAGGAGGAGGAGGAGGGCTGCCAGTCTGGAAGAGTCTGGCTTCTAGGCTGCTTGGAAGAGAGCCCGTGCTTCAGTTAAACTCTCCGGACGGTTAGGTCAAAGTTTCTGGCCCGTTTAAATAGGGCGGAAAGGCGGAGAGAGGTTCACCTCCCGTTTCTCAATTTTCAGCAACTTTCAGAGGGGTAGACTTCAGTTCCCAGAATTCCCCAGGCAGCATTAACTTTTTTCCTATCCTTACCCTTCTTTCTTTCTTTCCCCTTCTTCCTCTCCCTCCTCTCTCCTCTCCCCCTCATTTTCCTGCCTGCTTCCTTTCTCTTCCCTCTCCTTCCTTCCTTCTTTCCTTCCCTTTTTTTTCTTTCTTCCTTCCTTCCTCCTCCCTCTCCTTCTCTCCTTCTTCCTTTCTTTCCTTTCTTTCCTTTCTTCCTTCCTTCCCCCTCCCACTCTTCCCTCCTTCTCCTTCCTTCCTTCTCCCTCTCTTCCCTTCCTCTCCTTCCTTGCTTCCCCCTCCCTCTCTTCCCTCACTCTGCTTCCTTCCTTCCTTCCTTCTTTCCTTCCTTCCTTCCTTCCGACAACTCTGCCTTCGAGTTCTGCTTTATTCATCTCTCTCTGTCAGAACCATGACACCTTCCTTCCTTCCTCTTCCTTTTACTTTCCTTCCTCCCCTCCCTCTCCCCCTTCCTTCCTCCCTTCTCCCTCCCTCCCTCCCTGCCTTGCATCCTTCTTCCTTCCTTCCTCTGTCCCTTCCCTCCCTCCCTTCCTGCCTTCCTCCTTCCTTCTATCTTTCCGTCCCTCCCTCCCTCCTTTCCTCCTTCCTTCCTCCCCTTCCTCTCTCCCTCCCATCCTGGCACTTTGTGGGAGTTGAAGTCCACCCCTCTTAAAGTTGCTGGGATTGAGAACCACAGCTGTGGTCAGTTAGTCGTGAAGGTCAAGGAGGTTGCTTGGCCCCAGCCACACTCACTCACCCCAATGATGCTGTTCAGCTCCCCCATCGTCACCAGCTTGGCCCGGTCCATGGCTTGCACGACCTGCTGTTGGTGCTGGGGGGGCCAAGGAAAACCATCAGTGCTAGCATGGAACAACGGCCCTGCCCCAGACCTGCCAAGGCCCGCTCTTAAAAAACGATACAGGGGTCTAGTTGCCACGAAAGGTAAATGTGGATTACGGGTCATCCTCAATTTACAACCGTTCACTGTTTTCTTACCCTCTTGCGTTTATTTATTTATTTACCTCTTGTGTGAGAAAGGGGACAATCTGGGCACAGATAGCCGTCAGCCGCTTGACGATCTCAGCCTAAAGTTAAAGAGAAAGAAGAAACTTCGAAGCCTCTCTCTGCTCAAATTTTCTCTTGGGGGAAGGGAGGGAGGCAAGGGAGGTAAGAAAGGGAGGAGAGAAGGAGGGAGGGAGGAAGGAAAGAAGGAAGAAAGGAGGGAGAGGGAGGAAGAAAAGAAGGAAGGAGAGAGGGAGGGAGGGAGGGAGGAAAGAAGTAAAACGGAAGGAGTGAGGGAGGGAGGAAAGAAGTAAAATGGAAGGAGGGAGGGAGGGAGGAAAGAAGTAAAACGGAAGGAGGGAGGGAGGGAGGAAGGGAGGAGAGGAGAGATGGAAGAAGGAAGGAAGGAGAGGAGATGGGAGGAAGCAAACAAGCAAGCAAAATGGAGGGAGGGAGGGAGGAAGAGAGGAAGGAAAGAAGGAAGGAAGGAAAGAAAGGGAGGAGGGAGGGAGGAAAGAAGGAAGGAAGAAAGGAAGGAGGGAGAGAGAGAGGGAAGAAGGAAGCAAGCAAAACAGGGAGGGAGGGAGGAGGAAAGAAAGAAAGAAAGAAAGAAAGAAAGAAAGAAAGAAAGAAAGAAAGAAAGAAAGAAAGAAAGAAAGAAAGAAAGAAAGAAAGGAGGGAGGGAGGGAGGATAGGAAATGGAAGGAGAAAAGTCCACCAATTATTCTTTTCAGAAAGTCCCATTATTTCATACATTTTAAACAGCTGCTTTCACACAATACTAAAGCTTAGCTTGTCATGTGAACAGACCAGAGAGCTTGAGGACACCGCAGGAACACAGTGCCTATAAATTGCAAACCGGATGCTCCTTACGAAGCCAACTGCACCCTAGTCCCTTGGCATAACCCAAATTGACAAAGTCACACCCATCTTTACACACCACCCAATTCTGTAACCCCCTCCCCAACGTGCTCCTTTTTGAGATTCCCGGGACATCATACCTGTTTATGCATTTCAATATTCAAACCATAGGACATCTCGTAATACTGAAAAAGACGGAGGAGCAGCAGTTAGGCAGGCAGTTCATCCCCAGAGCTGCACAATTCCTTCATTTGATCAGGATAGGCCAGGGGTAGGCAACCTTGGCCCTTTTATGACTCGTGGACTTCAACTCCCAGAATTCCTGAGCCAGCCAAGCTGAGGGGAAAGGGAGAGGTTTCCAAGCTGAGCCATGCTGGCTCAGGAATTCTGGGAGTTGAAGTCCACAAGTCATAAAAGAGCCAAGGTTGCCTACCCCTATCCTAGGACGAAGATTAAGAGCAGGGTTCTTCAAATTGGGCCCTTTTATGACTTGTGGATTTCAACTCCCAGAATTCCTGAGCCAGCCATGCTGAGGGGAAAGGGAGAGGTTTCCAAGCTGAGCCATGCTGGCTCAGGAATTCTGGGAGTTGAAATCCACAAGTCATAAAAGAGCCAAGATTGCCTACCCCTATCCTAGGATGAAGATTAAGAGCAGGGTTCTTCAAACTTGCCTTTTATGACTTGTGGACTTCAACTCCCAGAATTCCTGAGCCAGCCATGCTGAGGGGAAAGGGAGATGTTTCCAAGCTGAGCCATGCTGGCTCAGGAATTCTGGGAGTTGAAGTCCATGAGTCATAAAAGAACCAAGGTTGCCTACCCTTGGTTTAGGCCTTCATTTCCTCCCTCAGCATCGTGCCCCAATTCCCGACATTCGGTCCCCGACTGCAACGCAGCCACAGTTACATGCAAAAACCGTGCGAGAAGCTCAGAGACACCAGAACAGCCACCAACAGATAAAGTCATATTCTTTAAAACAACTCAAAAAGAACACTTTGGACCACGATTGATTATAGACCCTCAAATCAGGGGTCGGCAATTAAGGACCATGTACAGGTAGGTCCTCGACTTACAACCGTTCATTTAATGACCATTCAAAGTAATAGGGACGCTGAAAAAAGTGACTGGTGACCATTTTTCAAACTTACAACCGTCGCAGCGTCCCCCTTGGTCACGTGGTCAAAATTCGTACGCTTGGCAACCGGTTCATATTTATGACGGTTGCAGCGTGATCCACTTTGGCGACCGCCTGGCAAGCAAAGTCAACGGTGAAGATGGATTCATTTAACAACCGTGTCGCTAACCTGACAGCTTCAGCAATTCACTTAACAACGGTGTCACCAAAGGGGGTAACATGGGGCAAAACCCACTTAACCACCGTCTCGCTTAGCGACAGAAAAGTTGGGCAGGCACAATCGTGGTTCAACGGTCGTATGTGTGAAAAAACAGTCCTAAGTGCCACTGTTAACTTCAAAGAGTCACTAAATGAACTATTGTAAGTCGAGGACCACCTGTATTTTGTAAATCCAGAGCTTCTTGCTAAAACAAAAAAAAAAGTATTATGGTTATGATTAGTATTATTACTATGTTTTACCATAACGTAATGCCTCTGCATCTCTGTTTTTTCGCTTGCTAACTTCTCACAGTCCAGCTTCAGGCTGTAACAACAAAGCAAATATGATTCTTTTTGTTTTGTTTTGTTCTGCCGAACTCTGTTCAAAACCATCCCTCCTCCCTAACCCCCCCTTTCCAAACTCCTTCCCACTTTCAGTGGCTTCCTCGCTCAGGGACTGTAATGGAGTGGGGTTGGGGGGGAAATGAGCAGAATCAAAAATAAATCAATTTACAAGCTGCCTCTCTTTTTCTGGAGAATGCCTGCTCTTCATTGGAAAGGGAAAGGGAAGGGAAAGGAGAAAAAAGGCCAGATTTTAGTAAACACACTATGCACTAAGCACAATGTGGTTTACTGGTGCAGCAGCCTGCTGGGAATATCCAGCCATTATTCTGCAAATCAGGTTAAACAAACCACAGCTTAACGTGATGGGTGAACAAGGCCGCACCATGGTTGACGGGGGGGGGGGGGGAAGCAAACAGAGAGAAAAAAAAAGCAATGAGAGAGATTTCTGGATTTTTCAAAGCCGTGCACAGTATTCTGGGGTACACTACCACTGGAGGTGGAGGTTCCACTTAAGTTGTCCTAATTATGAATCCTAATCTTCTTTTTTTTCCCTCTTCTTCTCCATACCTGTGATACTGAGCTTGGAGGAACTGGAATTCTTCCTTAATTCGGTCACAAATCTCCAATACTGAGAACTTAAAAGGCTGCCCGGACTGAAAACAGAAAGGTAAAGAGACGGAATATCTTACGGCAGGGAGAAAAAAATAAGAATAAAGTATGAGTTATCACTTTTATTGTTGCAAATCGTTTGGCACCCTTCAAAACCAGGTTTTCCCAGGACAAAATATACAATAATTATATTTGCTGATAGTTCTCCACTGAACAACCGTTCATTCAGCGACTACTCAAATTTACAACAGCACTAAGAAAAATGTGATCTACAGCCAGTCCTCACATTTATGACTGTCACAGCATCCCCACGGTCACGTGATCAAAATTTGGGCACTCAGTTAAAGGTTAATTATGATTTTTTCTTTTTTCTTTTCTTTTTTCTTTTTTTTCCTTTTCTTTTCTTTTTCATTATTATAAATTTTGTTATTATTAACCCTGTATTCTGCTCTGGGAAGTGAGGGAGGGGGGTTGGGGGTGGGAGGGAGGGTAAGAGGGGGGGTAAGTGTAGTATAGATAATGGTTGTTTATAGGAGTGCGGCTAGGGCACTCCCCTTATGCTGCGTTCATGGGTTTGATAGGGATGGGAGGAGAGAAGGTGTAGAGAGGAAGTAGGGTATTGAGAGGAGAGGGGGAGGGGAAAAGAGTAGGTGGGGAGGAGAGAAAGAGAAGGGAAGTAGGGAATGTTTTAAGAAAGGGTGGACGCAGCCTGGGGGGAATGGACGGGCGCACCAATGGTTATGAATTTATCTTATTTAAAATTAAAATTGTATTGTATTTTTATAATGTTTAAATGGAAAAAAATAAAAATTTTCAATAAAAAAAAAAAATTTTGGGCACTCAGCCGCCGGCATATATTTGCAATATCCTGGGATCACCATTTGTGACTTTCCCAGCCCGCTTTCGACAGGCAAAGCAGTTGGGAAAAGCCGGATTCACTAAACAGACACGTGATTCATTTAAGGACTGCAGGCTCTCGCTTAACAACCAGGACAAAAAAAAGTTCATAAAATTGGGTGCAATTCACTTAACAACGGGCGTGCTTGGCAACGGAAATTCCGGTGCCAACTGCGGTTGTAAATCCAGGACTACTTGTGTTAGATATTCTCCTTTTCCCAAACTAAGATTTTCACATTGCATTAGCAGGAAAAATGTGCACGACCCAATTGCCAATTTACCGCTTGGTTTCACAGACTTTGGAAACAGCTGCAGAAAACCAGTTGCACTGAGCGGGTAAGAATGGAATGGAATAGAATAGAATAGAATAGAATAGAATAGAATAGAATAGAATAGAATAGAATAGAAAATAGAATAGAAAACAGAACAGAATAGAATAGAATAGAGTAGATAATAGAATAGAATAGTAAATAGAATAGAGTAGAAAATAGAATAGAATGGAATAGAAAATAGAATGGAACAGAACAGAACAGGATAGAATTGAATAACAGAGTTGGAAGGGACCTTGGAGGTCATCTAGTCCAACCCCCTGCTCAGGTAGGAAACCCTAAACCATTTCAGACAAATGGCTATCCAGTCTGTTCTTAACAACCTTCAGCGTTGGAGCATTGACAGCTTCTGGAGGCAGGTTGTTCCACCGATTTATTGTTCTCACTGTCAGGAAATTTCTCCTTAGTTCTAGGTTGCTTCTCTCCTTGATTAGTTTCCATCCGTTGCTTCTTGTCCTGCTTTCAGGTGCTTTGGAGAATAGCTTGATTCCCTCTTCTTTGTGGCAGCCCCTGAGATACTGGAACACTGCTGTCATGTCCCCCCTCGTCCTTCTCTTTATTAAACTGGACATACCCAATTCCAGCAACCATTCCTTATGTTTTAGCCTCCAGTCCCGTGATCATCTTTGTTGCCCTTCTCTGTACTCTTTCTAGAAGCATCTTTTTTACATCGTGGTGACCAAAACTGGATGCAGTATTCCAAGTGTGGCCTTACCAAGACCTTGTAAAATGGTATTAACACTTCACATGATCTTGATTCTATCCCTCTGTTAATGCAGCCTAGCACTGTGTTGGCTTTTTGGGCAGCTGCAGCACACGGCTGGGTTCAAGGCTTTGTATCAGCCCTGATTAGCGATTTATTATAGGTAGTCCTTGATCCACAACCATTTGTTTGGTGACTGTTTAAAGTTACGCCAATGAAAAAGAGTGACTGATGACCGTTTTTCACACTTACGACCTTTGTAGCATCCCCATGGTCACATGATCGAAATTCAGGCACATAACTGACTCATATTTACGACAGTTGCAGCATTCTGGGGGTGATGTGATCCCCTTTTGCGACATTCTGACAAGCAAAGTCAATAATAATAATAATAATAATAATAATAATAATAATAATAATGTTGGAAGGGACCTTGGAGGTCAATGGGGAAGCCAAATTCACTTAGCCAACGTATTACCGTATTTCCCTGAAAATAAGACCTAACCGGAAAGTAAGCCCCAGTATGATTTTTCAGGATTCTCGTAATATAAGCCCCACCCCCCAAAATAAGCCCCAGTTAAGATTGTCAGCTAGACGGACGTATTTAGTACCGTTGCAACACACAACGGACACATTGAATTATAAAATAACAATATTAATATATAATTTGAACATAATTAAATAACATTATTAACATTATTTGAATAAATGTCGATTGTTGTACATGAAAAAAATAAAGACATCACAATGAAAATCAGCCCTAATGCGTCTTTCTGAGCAAAAATTAATAGAAGACCCGGTCTTATTTCCAGGGGAAACTGCAGCGATTGGTTTAACAATTGCAGCAAGAAATGTCATAAAAACGGGGGCAAAACTCATTTTACAAATGTCTTGCTTAGCAATGGATCAAGGGATAAAAACTATGAATGTTAGGAAAAACATCCTGTTAGTTTGGATTCCAGCATGAAACAAGGGGTGAAGCTTGATGACCTCAAGCACCCCTTCTGGATCTGGGACACGAGGATGATTTTTTTTTTTCATTTCTCCTTTTTTGGAGCTGGGAAGAGTATGTAAAAGTACGAGAGATGATGACAGGCAGGAAATGAACGGAGCCACTCTGACTTTATGAACTGCAGTTGCTGATAAAATGATTGCGGCTGACAGCAATGGCTGTATCCTAAAATTAAGGGAGGTAAAAAAAATTTAAAGGGGTCCCCACCCCGCCCCTCTGTTTGCAGGCTGACTTTAAAAATCACTCCTCACCTGGAAAAGGGAGAGGTAAGGGATGCGCCCAGTGCAATGCATTAAAAAAAAAATAGTGTTTTTCAAACTTGGCAACTTTTAAGACTGGTGGACCTCAACTCCCAGAATCCCCCAGCCAGCTAGGTGGAGGTGGACTCTAATTGTAGTGACACCCCATCTAGAACTGGGCAAAAAGTTGCATTTTGATACTTTTTCAGCCCAATAAAGCAAAGCTCCCAATAAAAATACAGTGAGGCTGTCTGAAAACAGCCAGTTTAGAGATGGGGCCAAAACGCTGTTTTCCAAGGAGACTCCTGTTAGTTCACCCCAAAAAACAGTCTGGTCTAGAGGTGAAGGAACTGGTCTAGAAACCAAAAGCCTCATGGGTGACTTTGGGCCAATTACCAGGAGACTGGGAGTTCTAGTCCCACCTTAAGCACAAACAGCCAGTTGGGTGACTTTTGGGCCAATCGCCAGGAGATTGGGAATTCTAGTTCTGTTTTAGGCACAAAAGCCAGCTGGGTGACTTTGGGCCAATCGCCAGGAGATTGGGAATTCTAGTTCTGTCTTAGGCACAAAAGCCAGCTGGGTGACTTTGGGCCAATCGCCAGGAGATTGGGAATTCTAGTTCTGTCTTAGGCACAAAAGCCAGCTGGGTGACTTTGGGCCAATCGCCAGGAGACTGGGACTTCTAGTCCTGCCTTAGGCACAAAAGCTGACTTGGCAACTTTGGGCCAGTCGCGCTCTCTCACCCCAACTGCCTTACAGGGATGTTCTTGTGGGGAAAATAGAACGAGAAAGGAATAGAAGCAGTCCTCAACCTATGACCACAATCAAGCTCCAAATTTATGTTGTTAAGTGAGACATTTAAGTGACTTTTGCCCCATTTTGTGGCCTTTCTTGCCTCAGTTGTTAAATGAAGCACTGCAGTTGGTAAGTTAGTAACCCAGTTGTTAAATGAATCCAGCTTCCCCCTTGACTTTGCTTGTCAGAAGGTCACAAAATGGGATCACATGATCTCGGGACACAGCAACCGTCATAAATATGAACCAGTGGCCAAGCGTCTGAATTATGATCACATGTTTATATAGGGATGCTGGACAGGTCATAATTGTGAAAAACAATCCTAAATCACTTTTTCTAGTGACGTTGTAACTTTGAACGGTCAGTAAGTGAACTGTTGTAAGTCGAGGACTACCCGTATTTAGGTTGGTTTGCCGTTTGGAATTATTTGTAAAAATCATGAAGGTGGGAAATAAAAAATGATATATAAATAAAAAATAAATCAAAGGCGCCTTGATCCCTCATTCTCTGCTTTCCCGGAGCTTGGCTGGTGTGGTCAGCTGAGCCTCCAACGAGGTATTGCACGGTGTGCACCCAACTCAAGTACGTAGCTTACAGTTCAGAGTCATGAAAATCCAGGCTAATTGAAAAGACCGTGGTTAAATTAATTGCCGGTAAGGGAGCTGTGCAAACACCGCTGCTATATATCTCTCTCTTCCTCTTGAATTCTGGAGCTAATGACTTTGTAGTCAGGGGTTACCTGTAAAGACTGATGCAAATAAAGACCGTTTGCAAATTTCTCTCAGCTGAGGGTCCATGGCTAGTTCTCCTAGGGCAGGGGTCCCCAACCCCGGGTCTGTGGATTGGTACTGGGCTGCAGCATGCCAGCAACCGGGCCGCACAAACAAGCAAAGCCCCATCCTTGGGATGCAGGCGGCACACAAAACCACGCACCCTCCGGTCTGCGGAAAAACCTCTCTCAATGGAAGCGATCCCTGGTGCCCAAAAGATTGGGGACCTCTGTCCTAAAGCTGCCTTCACACAACACACTAGGCAAGGTGAAAACACCATTATTGTGGGAATTCAACAA